CCCATCTCTCCCTCAGGTGTCCCCTTCCCCCACTCTCTCCCTCAGGTGTCCCCTTCCCCATCTCTCCCTCAGGTGTCCCCTTCCCCCTCTCTCCCTCAGGTGTCCCCTTCCCCATCTCTCCCTCAGGTGTCCCCCCTTGAGTTCCTACCTTGTAGCGTGGCCGAGCGCACCGCGGAGCTCAGTCTCCTGTACCCGGCGGACAGGAAGTGCTCTCTCTGTGAGCACTTCATTTCCGTCCGCCCGGGTACAGGAAACATAAGTTCCTGTACCGCGGTGCGCTCGGCCACGCTACACAGAGTGCCTGGCAGGAGGGAGCGCTCTGCGCTCACCTCCTGCCGGTCACTCCGGCTTTGCGCCCGCCGGGCCGGTGCGCCCTAAGGCGGCCACTTGTGCCGCCTTATGGATGCGCCGGCGGAGCGCACCCTCCATCCCTCCGGCGACCTATGGCCGCGTGCCCACAGAGGGGGCTCGGCGTGCCACCTGTGGCACGCGTGCCATAGGTTCGCCATCACTGCCTTAGATGCTAAGGTTTTTATCCTGCTCAATCTAGTTGCCAGTGCTTCCAGGTGTTGCTTGTGTAAAGATACACAAGTAAGCATCACTGCAGTTACACACCCCCAGACACCTTACCAATGTTTCTGATGCCATCCTGTGTAGCTCCGCCCCTTCTATGGCATCATTAGCTCTGACACTCTCTCCATAGTGTTCAATGCAGGTGGGATTAGCCCTGGAAAGAAAGCATTTTTACCCCAAAAAGAGTTTTACTTTCCAGGGATAAAACAACAGGGGCACTGCACCCAGACCACTTCAATGAGATCTGAGTGTCTATTGTGTCTCTTTAAAGGACTTCTAAAGGCATCTCGGGGAAGTAGTCTGGATGGAGTGGTCCTGTAGTTTTAACCCTGCAATGTAAAACACTGTAGTTTTGAAGAAACTGCAATTTTTACAAGGCAGTGTTAAAAACATCTCTAGTGGCTGTTATACTAACAGCCACTAGATGAGCTTCCTCTATAAGTGACTAAAACTCGGTCATATGACCAAATGCAGCTCATAAGAAAGCATTGAATTCAGTGCTTTCCTATGATATTTAATTGGATGCACACGACGCTTGCCGCGCACGTGCATTCATCCCCGAAGCTCCTCTATGAGGAGCACTGGAGTGGACCATCTCAGAGAGAGCGACACCTGCTGGATGATATTGCAGGAGAAGGAACAGGTAGCAGCTCCGAGGGGGTCTCGGGCTAGAGAAAAGGTAAGTAAACTTTTTACATGAAAACAGATTCAAATCCAAAAAGTGGCCTTAGGAAGGGGTCACCAAATTATTTCTGGACTCAAGCCCCAAGTGTTTTTTGACCCTAGCAACTCCCCTTGTTGAATGCGTAGGAGGAAGTCTGTGGTGGGGTTGTTTCTGTGCATGGGCTGTTTGTGGTGTTGTATGTGTGTGCATGTGAACAGTGGTGTAAGAGAACCTTGCAGAAAAGCTTGCATACCCAGAGACTATGGGCCCTTTGTGACACTTACAGAATAAGTGGACATATAAGCGGCTAATATTGTGTAAATGCTATATTCTACAATCTGTGTTTTTGGAGTGTGGAGACGTTATGTGTGTAAGTTTAATTCAATCAGTAGAGCTTCTCACTTTGATTATGTTAGTGGTGCTCAGACACTCTGGCACCAGGGTGGGTGCAATGTAATTAAACCTGTTATTGTTATTGGTTACTTTCCCAAGTCCTGTCACTATTATTGGCTTTTATGCTTTATCCTCCCTTGTGTTTCCCTATAAAAATAGATGTCACCATCAATACACATTGTCCTTCCCTTCACTAAGTCTTGTGTGGTGTTCGAGGAGAGATACAAAAGAGCTACCTGATACTCCCATAAGTGGCTGGTTGAGGTTAGTGGAAGAACTCCTGGAGCATGCTACACTGCGCCCTTGTGAACAGGGACAAATGACAAATGCTGTAACAGGACATTTTTGGTCATCAAGCCTGAGACCAGGCTAAACTGCTCCTCTTACAAGTGGCTGTATGTGGATTGGAGCTAGAGTGTGTGTTTATGGGGATGGGGGCTGTAGGATGTGGGGGGATACTTACCATATGGTGTGTTTTGGAGAGATAGGAGCTGTACGGCATGTTTGGGGGATGGGAGCTTTAGAATGTGTGGGAGGATGGGGTCTGTAGAGTTTGTTTTGGGAAATGGGGGCTGTATGGCATGTTTGGGGGATGGGAGCTTTAGAATGTGTGGGAGGATGGGGTCTGTATGGCATGTTTGGGGGATGGGAGCTCTAGGATGTGTGGGAGGAAGGGGTCTGTAGATTTTGTTTTGGGAAATGGGGGCTGTAGGGTGTGTTTGGGAGGGATAGGGTTGTAGTTATGGGTTAGATAGAGACTGTAGGGTATGGGGTATGTTTCGGAAATGGAGGATGTAGGGTATGTTTTGGGCGATGGGGTCTGTAAGGATTGTTTTGGGCTGTAGGGGCTGTAAGAGCTATGGGGGAATAAGGACTGTATTGTGTTATGAGGGGGGATTAGGGCTTTATGATATACGTGTGGGAGAAAAGGAGTTGTAGTATATATGTGCATGGAGAATAGGGGCTTTAGTGTGTGTGTGGGGGGGTGATAGTGACAGTTGTGTGAGTGTTGGATGGGGTTTGGGGTTTATAACGTGTTGGTTGGATGACATGGGCTGTAGTGTAATAGTAGCTGTTGTGAGTTGGAAGGGCTGTTCTGTGCATTGGGGAAATGTAAAAAATTCAGTTTATTCCCCCTCCCTCTTGCTTGCCTTAGGCCATGGAGGGGTGAATACTAAACCCTGGTGGTCCAGTGGGTGCATCTTCTGCTCTGCAGACCACTATATCTTTCTGGCCAAGAATTGCCATGGAATCCTGTGGCAACATTCACAGGAGCAATACATGTAGTTTGTACCCTCCTGGGATGTAGACTGCAAACCCCCTACACTGGTTGTCTTATGGGAAATGCAGCCCTGAGTCCATTGTAAAATCTGCAGAGTATTCACACACTGCCCTGTACCCTCTACTAAAATCTAAAGTTTTATAATGGGCTCTCCTATAACTTCTTCCTGATGTCTTTTTTTGGTCTTAAATGGGTTTATGGGAGTAGTCTGTGTACATATTTGACAGCACATGTGAAGCACAAACACTCCTAACAAAGCATTTTTGACCTGTGAATTAATTTTGATTCCAGGTATCTGATGTGTTATCTGAAAACTAAACCATGAAACTCGTTATCCTTCTGTTGGCTTTCTGTGCCATAACGCATGGTAAGTGCTTTAAATACATCACAGTTTAGTAGATAGGACTGGGAGTTAAACAAAACACTGTGAATTTGGGCGTTAACCAGGCAAACAGGACACAGGTTAAAAATACACTATACACTATGAGAAACATCTCTTTGTGGTTCTCTATAGTAGCGTACAATTGGGAGAGTCGGTACTCCTCCCCGGGTCACAGGCGGGAGGGAGGAGCAAAAAGCAAGGGGTAGTTGGTGTTTTAAGACACACAAGGAGGAAAGTGGGGTTAAGCGTAGAGGCTCAATAAGGGTGGAGGAACATACAGCGAAAAATTACATTTTAGTGCGGGGTATAAACCTGCAGTTCCACCCATGTACTAAATAACCTAGGTATCTGGCACTGAACTCTCCATTTCTCTCCATTTTTACAAGGATGTCCCACCATATTATCCAAGTCAGCATGGGGAGGGAAGGCTGCCAAATGCAGCAGCAATCGTTTACCCAGACCAGTCAAATTTGTGATCATCCACCACACTGCGGGGGCATTTTGTTCCTCACAGTCTACATGTTCTGCTCAAGCCAGGATTGCCCAGAAACATCACATGAACAATCAAGGCTGGTGTGACATTGGATACAAGTAAGCTGCTTAAAAAGAGAGGTCTTCAAAAAAAAACTTAATTGGGCAACGGGAAAACTTTGCAACTACAATGTCCTGTGATTGGAGGTCAATGGGGATATGATATAAGATATAGTAGATAAAAGAGGACAATTGGCATGGGAATCTGCAGCCTTAGGCAAGAGGAGGCAAGCTCCCCCTCCCCACAGAATTTGCCTTTCCTTTAATTTAAATGTGTCCCTATGAGTGACAGTGCCTATACACATTATGGTTCCCCCACCCCGATAATCAGTGCTATTTGCTAGAATGCACTCAATAGAACAGATCTCTAATGCAAAACCAGCCAAATTAACTGAAGACTTCAGAGTATGATTTCTTAATCCAGTGCGTTTATTATTTGATGCAACATACTGCTAAGATATATTTGTTACCTCTGATGTCTAAATTAAAGAGCCAGTAATTGGCTCAGCTTGTCTCCCTGGATGAGGAGATGGGGAAAGAAATTGGAGACTATTTTTCTTTTTATTGCAAAGAGCGAGAAGACCTAAAAGAAGAGATTCCATCTCTAGAAAGGGTTTTACAATCAGCAGAAAGAATAGCAAAGACATCGACTTTTTTTGAAATGTAATAATTTATATAAATGATGATATATACTTATATATTTATTTTTTATACTTCTAAATTTAGCTTCCTAGTTGGGGAAGATGGCCAAGTATATGAAGGACGTGGCTGGAAAAACATTGGAGTTCATGCTCCACCGTACAACTCAATTTCCATTGGAATCAGCTTTATTGGAACATTCACTAGTAAGTTGGTAGAGTGGGGTACGATTAGAAAAAACAATAAGATAAAATATTATTATTGAGTGAATGCATTTTTCTGTCATACAGGCCCTGGTTAAATAATAACACCTTTTGGATAAATTATTATAAAGTCTCCGTTTATCATGTTATTCTATTCTGATTTGACCTTGTATGTTTTAAAAACATGGTATGCATTTGTTCTAACACAGAAATTGTATTTATTTTGATTTCAGCTAGACAACCATTTTTATTAGTCTTTTCATAGCTATTTTATATCTTAATCTATCTTTTTATATCCATCATTTTTTAATTTTTTTTTTTTTAACATTTCTTCCCTCCAGACCGTGCTCCCAGTGCTAGCGCCCTAAATGCTGCTCAAAGTCTGATAAGGTGCGGTGTCTCGGGAGGTTATATCAGTTCAAGTTATACTGTGAAGGGACATCGCAATGTAGGGAGCACAGAATGCCCTGGAGCCAAATTATACGCAATCATTCAAAAATGGAGCAATTTTAAGGCTTAAGACTCAAGCATTGTGCAATTAATTAAATTTTTTTTGCTTTATACGTGTCATAATCAGTGGAATTTTTAAAGTTGCATTTGCAATTTCTTTCATACTTGCCATCATTTTATACTTGTTGACATGCTGTAGGAATGCTATTTTTTGCTAAACAGCTCTGTGCATGTGCAGAGACCTTCAAAGCAATAACACAAGACATCCTTACTGTGCGATGCTCACACACATGTATGCTTTAGTTTTGATGACCTCTCTCAAAAAATGGTGACATGATGATACTCTATCTTAAATAATACACTAAGAATACACTATCAATTAATGTGATTCTTGTTGTGCAAAAATAATTTTCAGCTTTTTCTTCTAACAGCAAATGCTAAAAAATGTTAATCTACTTTAATCCACGTTGTGCTTTTAGTTTACTATAGAAACCTGCTTTTACGAGGAAATATTTATATAATAAAATACATATCATTTTATATGACTTTTTTGTTATTTTAGACACTGCTTCTTTTTTGTATATATTATTGCTTATCATAGCATGTTATGATAATGTGTGTTCTCCATTAGTTATCAATCTTTAAACCACAGATGGAATAAAGAATAGATAATTAATATTATCAATTAATGAGATTAGAAATGTGTGTGAATTCTCTCTCACACTCTGAACAAGAATATGGCCTCTCACCTCTGTGGGCCCTCTGGTGTGTGATTAGATGTGAGCTGCGAGAAAATCGCTTTCCACACTCTGTGCATCCATACGGTCTCTCCCCAGTGTGAGCCCTCTGGTGAGTAACAAGCTTTGAAACAAGTGTAAAGCTCTTTTCACAGTCACTGCATACATACGGTCGCTTCCCTGTGTGTGCTCTCTGGTGGGCAATAAGGTGTGAGCTATCAGTGAAGGTTTTATCACAGTCTGTGCATGCGTATGGCCTCTCTCCTGTGTGTGTTCGCTGGTGTTTGACAAGATTTGAGCTGTCAGTGAATCCTTTCTCACACTCAATGCAAACATATGGTTTCTCTCCCGTGTGGATTCGGTGGTGTGTAATTAAAGATGACCTACGAGTAAATGTTTTGCCGCAATCTGTACATGGAAACTGTTTCTTAATGTCTTGTCTGCTTTTAGACCTTTACCCAATTTTATAGCATTTTATAGCATACTTTTTGGTTGGACGTGCTTTTCAACTTTTGACATTTTTTTCTTCTTTGTGTTCCATAGCTCATCTTCACAAGTTCACCCGTTAGCCTCTCTTTGCTCGGTTTGACTAAGTTGGGAATCCGATTCAGGTTTCCTGGTTTCTGTCTGCGTTTCGGACATGTATTCATTCCTAGGTTCTGGGATATTCTTCTCTATAGAACTAAGTGTATTACAAGTTTGGCAAGATCTGGTATACCTACGAAAGGCAAATTACATTATGTTTTTAGTTGTGTAGCATTTGAACATGGGATAAATTGCACCATTAGCAAATAGCCACACATTGCTAACAAAATATGGTGTTTAGGAAACGTTCTGAGTCTTATTTCCGATAAATGCATTTAATAAAAGTTGGCACAAATAACAGGCTAATGCAATCCAGACACCGTTATTATGTATCAACACACAGAGGAGTCTGGGAGGGAAAGAAACACAGAGAAAGCTGGGGGTGAAAGAGACACACAGGGTGTTTAGGGGAAGAATGAGACACACAGGAGCTGAGGGGTGAGACACACAGAGGGGCATGTAGGGGAGAAAAAGAAACACAGAGGGACTTAGGGGGGGTGGGGAGGGGGGGGGAGAAACAAAAATGTGGGCTGTACTAGTGTGCCCCTATAACTAAGCTGCACTTTGTGGAAGAATACTTTTAAAAGAAATAGAGTGGCTAGGGAAAGAAAGAGACACACAGGATCTTGGGGGGAGAATAAGAGACACAGGAGCTGGGAAGGTGAGACACATAGGGGCTGGGGGAGAGGCACACAGAGTTGCTTAGGAAGAGAAAAAGACACACAGATTATCGTTTTCTCTTCAATGTGCTATATACAATCATATCCTATATAACTGTATTTTTTTTTTTAAATACATTGTTTTTCTCTGACTACAGAAAGACTGCCTATAGGTCTTTCACAAGATGGTAATATGGATACCTTGGACTCCATTATGCACAGTGAAATGGATTCAGTTTTATTTTCCTGGTCGGATAACATATGGGATTATGATATGCAGCTGAATAGCCCAATGTAGTTGACTTAGTGTAGTAGACACTGATCTGTTTGCATTGGCATTGGTGTACATTTACAAAATTGTTCACTATTACGCAGTTTATGTTTCTTGTTTTTAGTACTTTAGTTTTTTCACATATCATTTTATCTAAAAAAAATGTTGGTTTTAAAACCGATTGTTGAAAATTATTGTGCTGTTATGAAAACATTGTGCCGTTATGAAAAGTCCCATAGAGGACTGAAACGTTGACACAATTTCTGGTTTATGATTGCACAATAAAGCTTTAAGATTTATCTACAAAGTCCTGTGAGTGCACCTGCCTTGATACTTATATTTTGGCATAAGTGATTTGCACACAGACAAGGACAAGACCGAGAGAGGGAGTACTGGATCCACGTGCATTATGTATATATATATATTTATTTATTTTTATTTTTTATTTTTTATTATTATTTTTTTAATCTAGAATTTTTTTTAACCTGGCAATTATATATATATATATATATATATATATATATATATATATATATATATATATTTATTTATTTATTTATTTTTTTGTTCATTATGTACCTGTCAGTATGTATCTCTGTGGGATTTGAAGTGTAACTGTTGCTGTACAATAATGTGTCTAGAAGTTATAAGATGAAACCTCTGAGACAAACAAGGACTTCAATTTACAAAACTGAAAAAGAATTATGTAATAATTAGATTAATAATGATACAATTATGTGTGCTAACAAACATTTATTAATTATAATACTACAATTTTTTTCAACAATAACGTTTTAATGAAAAAACAACAACAAGTTATTTAAATAACAATTGTTTAAGGGACACTCAAGGCATCATAATTAATTCTTGTGGTGGAAACAGTGTGTTTAAATACATAAACAAATATACATCAAGCAACAGACCCAGAAAAATAATTTTCATACCATTACACAATAGTCCTAGCTTACTATGGACTCTAGGTAGTATAAAAAACTTCTTGAAGTGTTTTTTGTTTTTTTGAGAAGGACTTGAAGCACCACAAGCAATAACAAGCAATGTAGTGGTTATGTTCCTCGGAGGGCCACGATGACACCACAATGCAAACAGACAAACGTCTTTGGAAACAATTGACTTTGTGCCTAGGTGACACTTTCCCAATCCTATACAGACTTAACAGAGACCTCGAAGTTCTATGTCTGGGCAAAGCCCAACGCAACTGAAACAATATGACTATTTGCAATGTCCGGTTGAAGATGTTTGAAGAGTTCCTTTTGTTAGTCACATTCCATCTTATTTCCTTAAAATATTGATTAAAAAGAAAGTTCAAAGACTTGATCCATCGACATCCAGAGCAACTACAGACATCCAACACTTACAGTACTTGTTAAGATAAATACACTCTTTGTTTCACTTCGCAAAGAATACACCTTCCAAAATGTCACTCATCCAGTAGCATATCGAAGTATAATTAAACTTTTAATTGTAATTTAATTTAAATAATTTAAAGTTTAAATTTAAATAAACCAATTAAAATAGAATATTTATTTTTATTACTTATAATTATTGATTACGATTTTAGCTAAATCATTTGTACTTTATTTTTAAATAATTACATATATATTTACATAATTTGTTTTTTGGCAGATGGGGGAGGGTTTGCAGTTTGCTTTTACGTGATAAAACAAACAGGAACGTGTTATTGTGTTTAAAGGGCAAACACAGTGAGCCACAGTAGAGGCATAAGACTGGTGTAACTATTACTCCTATTCATCAAATCCAGGACTGTGAACACTAGAATCCTGTAAAAGTATTGAAGAGTTAGAGTTACAGTCACAGAAGCTTTGTGACTACACTATGTCAAAGATTGAAAACTCATTGAACAATAGCGGAGGCACTAAATAGACTTCGACATTTCGAAGTCAGCAATGTGACAAATCGCCATCAGTCATGGAATTAATGAGTTGGAGAAAAATGCCCTGAAGTTGTTTATTGTGTTTTCCTCCTGAGCCAATTGTAGCACGAGCACTCTGTAACTTTTACTCCTACCCAACTTAGTCTGCACTATGATACCTTTTATCCTGTGCTAGCCTCGATGAATATAAGTTATATTCCCAGAAGCCCTGTGCCTACAATATGGCTGTGGAGGAAGACACAATAAAGCACAGTGTACGTGCAAGACTTTTCGGAATTGTAAATTACACTTATCAAATGCAGAAATGTATCCATCAAAACCCATTGCTTACACTGATGAGTAAAAATTACAATTCTAAATGCCTTAGGTTTCCACTGTGGCTCAGATGGCAAACATAATGACCCACAGAAGATGCCCAATACTTTTTGGGCTATAACTCCAAAATAGCAAAGCGCTAATATTTTCTAGAGGGTCACAGTGTCAGTGTAGGAAAGATGATATTATAATACCAGAATCCTTGTGCCTTCACTTTGGATATGGTGGAAAAGACACAAAGAACTATGGTGGAGGCACAAGACGGCAAAGACTGTAACTTCAATTAATCAAAACCAGCACTTTGATCTTCCAAATAATTTTTGGCTGGCGTTAATGAGTGTGAGTTACAATAACATAATTATCGTAAATCTGCAGTGGTTCTGGTAGCAATCACAGAATAAATCTAGAACTTACCATGATAAACGCCAACAAGATGTCAGGTGAGTTGGACAGCCGGCATAGATAAGTGTGAGTTACATATCCAGAAGACTTATAATTCAGATGAAAGACATACTAAACCACAGTGTAGGCACCATACTTCAAGCATTGTAATTTATTTTAATTTTACAATATAATTTCTAAATAAAAAATAAAATTGTCAGTTCTAAGCTAAAAGAAAATAAAACTATCTTACCATGAGTCTGAGAATACATGATCACGAATTTTAGATTTAAAAAAAAAAAAATTCCTGAAAGAAATTAAAAACAAAATGAAATGTTATTAATCATTAAGAAGAATAAACATTACATTTTCAGTTTTGCAAGTTTATTGGATTGAAAAGGCTATTGTAGACAATAAGCTTCCTGTCTAGAATGTTTAAAATATTATCTACACCGATAGCATTAGAACGTTAATAATCACCATCTGACATTTCTTATCGATATGTAAGGAACGTAACGAAGATTGGACTGGGGACATTACACAAAACATTAGATCAAAAAATATAGTGTTATTAATGAATGGCAATTGTATCGCAGAAGATATTGCTATACACTTGACAAAGTAAATACCCTGGAAAAAAGATCTAGGCTAAAAGATCTCACAATTGACTATTTTATTATACAGATTATCCTCAAAAAAAAAAGAATGAATGAAAGAAAGAAAAAGGGAATTAACTATTTGTATTCACATGCAAAGTGACACAGTTCTAAAAGACCCTTGACATATGAGGTCAAGCAGGGCAACGCATTTCATGTGCAGCTCAACAATAACCATGTGAAATTAAAAAATGGAAAATGCAGTAGAGCCTTTATTGAGTACCCACTGGGCATCACAGGAAAGAGGACTGTTTGCTGTGTGCTGAAACACAAGAAGCAAGCTAACACTTGTCTTGTGCTGACAGCAGTGGAACAAGAAAAGCGAGACTGCGGCACTGAAAATAAATAAATAAATAAACCAAAGAAAAAAAACACCTACATTTAAAAAAAAAAAAATTAACTCAGTTTAAAATTAATTCACAAATTAACTCCTTGTCTGTGAACCTACATGGCCACACAAGAAAATATATAAACTATGACCATTGTGTCCTGGTAGACCAGAGGTAAGTTGTCAAAACAATGGCAGTAAGATAAAGAATATAGCCTGAGATGGCGACAGGATGAGCAAGTCAACATAACATCTACAGAGCTCCATGACAGATAAGCACAGAGTATATTCTTTCAATATTATGATGTCTGAATTTAGAAAGAGATATTTAGAAATCTCTACCTGCATGTTCCTGTCTCTTTTTATATGTTGGAAGGCCATTTGGCCTGAATATGTGGGAGGAGTTATGATCCTATTTAAACCCTACCCCCCTACTTACCTTTGTCGTGCCAGCTGTTCCGGTCCGTTGTTCCCGCCAAAGTCAGTCTCCAGCAAACAGTCCGTCGCTAGCAGCTCCTGTCTCTGTCTTCCGTGCCTGTTCACTGGCTTCGACCCGACTTCCCTACTCGCTACCCGGCTTCCAGTCACGAGACCGGCACGTCCACGTAAGCATAACGTGGGAAATAGCATTCAGCTATTTCCCACGTTAAGGCCTAAAAATGCGGGGATAGGCTCCCTTCATTACTTACCTGTTCGTGCTATTACGCTGTTCGTGTATTTCCGAGTTTGTGCGGCTAACAGCCGAACGCGGAATACACATGCTTTTGTTTACTTTCGTTTAATTCTATGTACCGTATGTGCATACTTGCCCTAAGTTTGTCTGTTCTTTTGTACGTTTGTTCAGTCGAACGCGTTCAAACGGCTTTTTCGTGCAACCTTTCGTCAATTTACACGTTACAACCTGCAGCTGATTATTCAATTGGCTTTCGTTTAAATCTTTTCGTATGTTCCATTTACCGAATGCGAGAGTTCTTTCTATTTATAGTACTTTTGTTCATTCGGTTAACTGAACGCAAGGGGCTACAGTGTTTAAATTTACTAATCTACTGTTAATATATTTAGTTATGTCTCTTACTTATACCAAGCACTCACATTAATTTTCCTATATGATGTTACGTTTATTATATGGCTCTTAAAGTCACCACTGGTTAAAAAAATATGTGTTTTACAAATTTCCCGTCCATGGTCACATAATTGTGGGACACCTATTTTTCACAGGGTAATCTTCTTAACCCCTTAAGGACCAAACTTCTGGAATAAAAGGGAATCATGACATGTCACACATGTCATGTGTCCTTAAGGGGTTAAAGGCACAGTTTGGCCACTTTCTTTTATAATTTACGTATAAAATACACCTCCACTTTCCTCCAAACAGTCTTCAAGAAGTGGTATCCCAGTACCCTGTATTACTGTATTAGGTAAGTAGGTTTACCAATTCTCTTTTCCCTCGAGGCCTCATTCAGCCTCCACGGCCTCATTCTCCCCACCTCCCAAAGTGGGTTCTAAACTTCTAACGGGCCAGATCTAAGATTCCTCACGGCGCTTAAAACATCAAATCACACAAACCTACAGCACCTTGCTACTACTTATACTTTTCTTCACAGAGAGCTCCAGGAAGAGGTATCCAGTATCCCGCATTTAGGTAACAGTTAAGAAGGTTTACCATTTTACGTTTTCCCTTGAGGCCTCATTCAGCCTCCACGGCCTCATACAACCCCCCACCTCTGAAAGTGGGTTCTAAACGTGACGTACCTGGTCTAAGATTCCTCACAAAATGTCAACAACAATCTCATAATCATAATCCATGGTATTACTACTATATTTAACGGTACATGTTTTGTCATTCATTTCTACATATCATTACTTAGATCTATGTCATTACCGCAGCTTGCCAAGTCCTACGCCAGCGACAACCTACAGGCTACCTGGTTCCCTGCATTGCAGTATCAGGTATTGGTAATCTTACTCATTACGACTACGTTTCTCCTTAAGGCCTCACTTCGCCTTTGTATCATTCAAAAAATTCACATTTGGAGGACCCCAGGGGCTTGTCTCTAATTTACGGACCAACGTTCAGGTCCCTCAGCTTACCCAAATTCTTATGTTACGGTATCTCTGATACACACCTACCCATACGTTCAACATTTTTACACTCATTATACCAGTGGCACGGCTCAGGCCCACTAGCATCTTTTTCCCCCGAGGTTTCCCGGTCCGGGCCCGTTCCCTGCAGAAGCAAGAATATATTGTAATCTTCCTGCGCATCTCCCAAAGAAAGAGGACAAACACTCAAGGTTAAGTATCTACATATGCTATATTACACCATTCTAAGAGATGAGCCGCATGAGGCTAGAGAACTGGCATTGAGGGTTAGGCGCTGGCCTTAGCTATCCTAACTAAATACTCCCTCCCCGTCCCCCACCACCACGATCACTACTCCATACGTCTCACTGGCCCACTCTGTTACAATTTCCATGGAGAAGGTAATTCTCATTGGAAAGGACGCTAAACTAACATCACTACTTAACTTCACAAGACACCCTACAGTGCAAAGATTATATTCATGATGACATTTCAGTAGTCCTAAACAGCCAGACCACGACTCACCACTCTTTCACCCCACGCACTAGTCAGGGAGGCGGCCTGAGGGTCAAGCTGGGCTGACCGTTTCATTTCTGGGGAAGGCTACGGTGCACCATTACTTTAATACTGGGGTAGGCTATTTCACTACATGCAGGATTTTGCACATCTGCTCCAGAACCCACCTAGTTCACATACGCAGACCATCTGTCACCTAAGATACGCCCAACTAAGGTTAACATTGATATCCTGGAATACTATCTGCATTTACACCCAGGTAGGCATCTGGTAGATGCTGGTGCCGGGTTTCTCACAGGGGTTCAAACGGGCCTTTTCACCATTCCCACAGGTACACTCGTATGCCCTATCCTATTATCTGCACCCATTGACCCTCTTACGGTGGACCACCTTCTGTCCACAGCAGTCATACGCTGGTTTCACGATCGCCTCCTTCCGGTCTTCACACTTCTCATCTTGGCGTACCATTCCCATCGAGGTAGCCGTTCACTATACTCTATAATACGTCTGATTATAGCCCTCTTCCGCACCGCACTCTACATCCATTCCCAGCTATGGAGTTCTCACTGCACTACGCAAATCGACCATGCCATACAAACTATCACTTCAGCAAGTAGTTTGGCTTGGTTGAGCAAGACTGACTTGTCCAACGCCTTTAATCTACTACCTATTCACCCTTCACCATGGCACCTGGCCTACGTTCGGGTGGCCATCCTGGCTAGCCATTTTGTGGCTGATTCACAGGCTGGCTAGGCTGGCAGCAACCTCTCAGCTCTTTTTAGTCTGCTTTTACATTCCTGGTGTCCACAACACAGTCGCTGACGCTCTTTCACGCTCAGTTTAAGGTCTTTTTTCAGGCACTCCCTGCGACCCAATACATACCATCCAGGATACCACCTTTCCATGAGATAATCTTGGACTAAATTTACACAATTACACCTCGTACAGGTATGCACGCTTCACGCAGTTTCACAACTACTCTATCACGCACGCCAGGGCTTTGTATATTGTTGATTGTCACAAGTAGAGTTTGCTCGATTTAAGACTTTGGCAGTTAACCTATTGTACTTTTTGCCTCTTTCCCTAAGCCTACAAATTCAAGCATCTTATTTATACCTCCTATGCTGTCACTCCGTTTTACGTAGCCACACACTATCAGTACTAACCCATTACTTCACATCTATACCTTCCATTAAGGTAAGCTACATCATGGCTTCCTTCGCCGGTCTCTCTTTTTCGCAAAAAAGCTGCATCAGCAGCTTCGAGCTCTTACACCCCAGTCTACATCACTAAATGATGGGGCCACAGGTAATCCTCAGCTCAGTTACATATATACCTCAATCAGAGTAAAAGCTCCTTACTAGCTTTCAGTACACAAGCTGTATAAACTTGCAATAAAGTATGTTTCTTTGAATTCTCTTTTGCCCTCTTTTTACAGGCCTACTCGTACGTTGGTTTCGGCACACTTCAACCAACCTTGCTTCCCGTTCTACATTCCATTACGTATTAGATCAATTCCAGGTACAAGTTGTAAGGCCATTTGGCCTGAATTTGTGGGAGGAGTTATGATCCTATTTAAACCCTACCCCCCATTTACCTTTGTCGTGCAAGCTGTTTGTCCCCACCCACCTACACCCATCTATATTAAACAATTTACCTTTGTGGGCCCTCTTTTTACAGGCCTACTCGTACGTTGGTTTTGGCACACCTCAACCAACCTTGCTTCGCCTTCTACATTCCATTACGTATTAGATAAATTCCGAGCTGGACTGTCTAATGCCAATTATGTGAATATTTCTATGCACAGACGCTCAAAAATTGGCTGAGTGCAATTTGCTGACTGTGTTTTGACGTAGCAAATTATTTAATTTCATGCAATCAACATACCACTACATGAGTCGGTCTCTGGTCTTCAAGTTGACAGCAATTAAAAACTGAAACACTCAATAAGGTTACATAAGATCTTTCAACATTATCCTGTGCTACGCCCTGAAGGAAACAGTAACTGAAAGTGTGAATCTCTTCCCACCCAGAGACAGAGCATATATAAACAGCAAGGAATGGGATTTGTTGTCTTCATCAAGTTTACAGTAGCAAAGGTGAGTGTCAAGGAGATCAGCAGAGAATGAATCTCTGGACTTAATGATTTAACTTCTGCTTTGAACCAGCTGGCCATTCACTAAACTGGGAACTGTTGGGAACTAACCTGGGGATTTCATATTTTAGGCTAAACTTGCATAAATCTCTAAGCTATTTTCATACCTCACAACATTTCAGATGGACAAAGAGGACACTTTTCATTTTTGCGGTGTGAGTAGCGGTGTGGCCAGGGGCGAGCTGTTCTGAGATATTTTTGGTCACTGACCAAAGACTAGTTACACAACTAAAAAGTGATTTAGAATTAGAACAATGTAACTTATTTACACAGACTGATTTCAAATCGCATTTATTGTTGTTTAAAGGACCACTATAGGCACCCAGACCACTTCAGCTTAATGAGGTGGTCTGGGTGCCAGGTCCAGCTAGGTTTAACCCTTTTTCCTATAAACATAGCAGTTTCAGAGAAACTGCTATGTTTATGTTAGGGTTAATCTAGCCTCTAGTGGCTGTCTCATTGACAGCTGCTAGAGGGCTTCCGCGTTTCTCACTGTGAAAATCAGTGAATGCTTTCCTATGGACTGGCTGAATGCGCGCGCGGCTGAATGAGCACGCGGCTCCTGCCGCACATGCGCATTCAGCCGAAGAGGAGGAGAAGAGGGAGGATAGGAGGAGGAGAGCTCCCCGCCCGGCGCTGGAGAAAGAGGTAAGTTTAACCCCTTCCTCTCCATCCAGCCCGGCGGGAGGGGGACCCAGAGGATGTATTGCTGTGGAGCTCTGGCATAAATTTAGCCTGGTCAATAATGTGAAGCTTAAGGAAAGAGGGACATTACAATAGAAAAGATTGGAAATTGGGCCAGAAATAGTAACTGTACCTCCAAGGTGGGGAAAACTTGGAAAATATGGATTTTTCTGCTTGTTTTTTTTTTTTTTACGAAATATGTGCAATTCCCGTTTAGTGCACAGAGTCCGATTAAGGTTGCCCAGGGCTCAAACAGGGTCCCCTCACAACCAGAGTCCACCAGGGAGTGTAGGTAATCTGGCTCTGTTAATGCATATGTGACAGGTACTTTGTTTCACAATTCAAAAACATATGCAATATTTGGCTGTACAAAAAATAATAATGCCAGAGTGTGAAGCAGTTTTATCCTTTGATCAACAAGATATCTCCGTAATTATGGCAATATTGCTATAATATTTTACTATAAAATTTTAAATCCAATTTTCATTCCAGACATGTGCTAAGATGTGTGTTGAGAAATATAGTAAAATAATTCATATGAATATGTGAATCTGATGACATGGAACATATTGGCTTACATACATACAATATAGGTTGAAAACAAGTCCACAACGTGGCTTTAGGAAGGAGTCACCAAATTATTTGTGGGCTCAAGCCCAAGGTGTTTTTGACCAAACTCAACTGGTTGAATGTGTAGGGGGATGTCTGTGGTGGGGTTGTGTCTGTGCATGTGCTGTTTGTGGTGTTGTATGTGTGTGCATGTTAATAGTGGTGTAAGAGAACCTTGCAGAAAAGCTTGTGTGCTAGATTCTTACCCAGAGACTATGGGCCCTCTGTGGAACTAACAGAACAAGTGGACATATAAAGGGTTAATGGTGTGTAAATGTTATATTCTACAATCTCTGTTTTGTTTTAGAAGTGTGGAGATGTTTTGTGTGCAAGTTTAATTCAATCAGTACAGCTTGTCACTTTGATTAAGTTAGTGATGCTCAGACACTCTGGCACCAGGGGTGGGTGCAATGTAACTAAACCGGTCATTGTTATTGGTTACTTTCCAAAGTCCTGTACCTATTATTGGTTGTTATGCTTTATCCTCCCCTTGGGTTTCCCCTCGGGTTTCCCTATATAAACATCAATAAAATACACTTTGTTTTTCCCTTCACTAAGTTTTGTGTGGTGTTTGGGAGAGAGATATAAAAGAGCTATCTGATCGGAGAACTGGCTGAGGGTTGTGGAAGAAGTAAAAAAACTGGTAGAAGAACTCCTGGAGGTTGCCTCTCAGAGCCCTTGTGGACAGGGACAAATGGTAAGGCAGGACATCTCTGGTCCTCAAGCCTGACACCAGTCTAACCTGCTCCTCTTACCAGTGGCTGTATGTGGACTATAGTGTGTGTTTAAGGTGATGGTGTTATTTGGATAGATAAGGGCCCGAGGGGATCGGAGCTCTAGGACGTGTGGGAAGATAAGCTCTGTAAGGATTTTATTTGAGGATTATAGTGTGTGTTGATAGATAGGGGGTGCTAGGGTGTGTTTTGGGAGGGATAGGGTTGTGGTTATGGGTTGGATGGGGACTAGGTTATGTGTATGTTTGGGGTTATGGGGTCTGTAGAGTTTTGTTTTGGGGGAAAGGGGCTGTAGAGTGTATGTGGAAATAAGGGCTGTATTGTGTGATGGGGAGGTTAGACTGGATTGCATATTTGTGGGAGAATAGAGGTTGTAGTATAAATGTGCATGTTGAATAGGGGCTTTAGTGTGTGCGTAAGGTGTAATAGGAACAGTTGTGTGAGTGTTGGTGGGCATAGGACTGAATTGTGTGTTGGGGATGACATGGGTTGAAGTGTGTGTTGGGGGTAATAGTAGCTGTTGTGAGTTTCAGGGGCTGTTCTGTGCATTGGGAACATTTAAAAAATTCTGTTTGTTTCCCCCTCCTCTTACTTAGCTTGGGCCAGGGAGGGGTACTGCATTGTGAAATCTGCAGAGTACTCACACACTGCGCTGTACCCTCTACTAAAATCTAAACTCTTTCCAAGGTCCACATCGCCTAATACTTCTTCCTGCTGTTTTTTTTTTGTCTTAAATGGGTTATGAAAGAAGTAGTCTAGGTACATATTTGACTACAGATATGTAGTGCAAACACTCATAACAAAGGATTTTTGAGCTTTGAAATAATTCTGATTCCAGGTATCTGACGTGCAATCTGAAAACTTAACATGAAACTCCTCGTTATCCTTCTGTCGGCCTTCTGTGCTCTTACGCATGGTAAGTGCTTTAAATACATCACAGTTTAGTAGATAGGACAGGGAGTTAAACACTGTGAATGGGGTGTTAACCAGGAAATAAGTAAGAGATTCACTAAAACACGAGAATGAGAAACATCTCTTTGTAACTGTCATCTGTCGCCAATAGTGTACAATTATGAGAGGAACACAAAGCAAGAAGTATTGGTGGGTTAAAAGACACACAAGGAGGTAAATGGGGTCAAGCAACACACAAGGAGGAAAGGAAGAATTAAGAGACTCACAAAGGGTGAGTGTATATAGAGGCACAAAGAGGGTTGAGCAATACACAGATAAAACATATTACAGTTCAGCGTGTAGTATCAACCAGCAGTTCCGCCCTGGTACCAAATAAAAGAGGTATGGTTCTTGAACTGAATTCTCCTTTTCTCTCTATTTTAACCAGGATGTCCCACCATCATGTCCAAGTCAGCATGGGGAGGAAAGGCTGCCAAATGCAGCAGTCGTTTAGCCACTCCAGTCAAAAATGTGGTCATCCACCACACTGAGGGGGCATTTTGTTCCTCACAGTCTACATGTTCTGCTCAAGCCAGGAATGTCCAGAATTATCACATGAGCAGTCAAGGCTGGTGTGACATTGGATACAAGTAAGCTGCTTAAAAAGAGAGGTCTTCAAAAAAAAATCAAGTGGGTAGCTGGAAAACTTTGCAACTACAATGTCCTGAGTTTGAAGGTCAAGGGGGTAGAATTTAAATATATGATAGATAAAAGAAGACAATTGGCATGGGCATCCCCAGCCTTGGGCAGGAGCAGGAAAAATTCCCCCAGGAATATGCCTTTCCTTTATTTTAAATGGTTCCGATCATTCCCGTTTGCTAAAATGCATCTAGTAGAACAGATCTCTAATGCACAACTTTCTCTATCTTCTGCTTGCTAAACCAGACCAATTAAATGAAGACTTAAGAGTATGGCTTCTTAATCCACTCCATTCGTTCATTGAGGCAACATCCTGCCAAGATATATTTATATAGCTCTGATGTCAAAATTAAAGATCCAGTGATTGGCTCATCTGGTCTCTCTGGGTGAGAAGATGGGAGAAAAAATGGGAGACTGTGTATTGAAAAGCTGGAGAAGACCTACAAGAAAATATTCCATCCCTAGAATGGGTTTTCAGGCAGTGAAAAAATTAGCAAAGAAATAAGCTATTGTGAAGTTTACTATATAATATAAATAATGATATATACTTATATATTTTTTGTTTTCATACTCCAAAATTAATTTAGCTTTCTGGTTGGAGAAGATGGCCGTGTATATGAAGGACGTGGCTGGAGAAACCTCGGAGCTCATGCAAAATCGTACAACCCAATTTCCATTGGAATTTGCTTTATTGGATCGTTCACTAGTAAGTTGGTACAATGGGGTAATGCCATACTATCACATTTGGGATAAATTATTATAGAGTCTCCGTTTATCACCGTATGTCTTTACTCTTTTCTGTCTACACCTTGTTGTACGTTTATAAAACATAACATGTATTTCTTCTAACACAGAAATGCTATTTATTTTGATTTCAGCAGAACAACCATTTTTATTGGTTTATTTCTAGCTATTTATGTCTTCAACTATCTCCTCATTTCCATTTTGAAGTATCCTATCTATACTAATACTTTTTGATCCCAGTTTATATCCATCATTTTTTAACGTGTATTTTTTTTTCCCACCCAGAGCGCGCTCCCAATGCTAGCGCCCTAAATGCTGCTCAAAGTCTGATAAAGTGTGGAGTCTCGAAAGGTTATATCAAGTCAGATTATATTCTGAAGGGACATCGCAATGTAATGAACACAGATTGCCCTGGAGACAAATTATACCAAATCATTCAAAAATGGCGTAATTTTAAGGCTTGAGACTCAAGCATTGTGTAATGAATTTATCTTGCTGTACTGCATTATTTTTGTTTTGCTTTACATATGTGTCACAATCATTGGAACAGTTTTAAAGTTGTATGTGCAGTTTCTATCATACTTGACATTATTTTACAACTGTAAACATTTTAGGTACGCCATTTAGTGCCACACAGCTCCTTAAATGTGCAGAGATCTTCAAAGCAATAACACAAGACAGATACTTTCTGTGACATACTCACACATGTACGCTTTCCCTTTTATGACATCTCTCAAAGAAGGGCAATACATGATGATACTCCATCTTAAAGAGTACACGCTATTCTCTCCTGTATCTCATTGAAATATAAAATGTTCAGCTTTTTCTACTAACAGCAAAAAATGTTAATTTACTTTAATCCACATTGTGCTTTAATTTACTACAGAAATCTGCTTTTACAAGGAACTATTACTGTAATAAAATCTATATCATTATATATGACTTTTTGCTATTTAATAAGAGTGCTTCTTGTCTTCTTCTTGTGTATGTGTTTATGTATATTATTGCTTATCATAAGATGTTAAGAAATTATGCGCTATTAACAATCAATCTTTATTTAAAATACAGAAGGACAAAAGAATAGACAATTAATATTATTTGTGAATGGTTCAGATACAGAACATAAAAAAGTTCTGTCAGCATACTAATATATAGTGATAGCATACATTTCATGTACGCCAACAATCTGTGCAATATTATCCACATTAGGTTCTTTACAGAAACATGTAGAAAAATAAGTATGTTTTTATCCCACCATTCATGGGGAGTTTCTAGTTTTACAAGGTAGAAATGACTTAAAAATAATGAAAATGAAATAGTATTCTCTTGTATTAAAGTTTTGTCCAATCAAATATAAGCTGGTCAGTTCACGGCTTGGCCATTACTACTTTATGGACTCCAGTCAATGATGATTTTTTCGGTGGAATCTTCAAGATCTTTGTTCATCTCATTTTTCATGTGTACTTTTCGGTGTTTAATAAGACTTGAATTCTGGCTGAAGCTTTTCCCACACTCGGTGCAGATATAAGGCCTCTCCCCAGTATGGGTCCTCTGATGTTCAATGAGGTTAGATCGCTGTGTATAACTTTTGCCACAGTCCAGGCACGAGTATGGCCGTAGCCCTGTGTGGGCTCTCTGGTGGGCAATAAGATTAGAAATTTGTGTAAATCGTCTCCCACACTCCGAACAAGAATATGGCCTCTCACCTCTGTGGGCCCTCTGGTGTGTGATTAGATGTGAGCTGCGAGAAAATCGCTTTCCACACTCTGTGCATTCATACGGTCTCTCCCCAGTGTGAGCCCTCTGGTGAGTAACAAGGTTTGAAACAAGTGTAAAGCTCTTTTCACAGTCACTGCATACATACGGTCGCTCCCCTGTGTGTGCTCTCTGGTGGGCAATAAGGTTTGAGCTATCAGTGAAGGTTTTATCACAGTCTGTGCATGCGTATGGCCTCTCTCCTGTGTGTGTTCGCTGGTGTTTGACAAGATTTGAGCTGTCAGTGAATCCTTTCCCACACTCAATGCAAACATATGGTTTCTCTCCCGTGTGGATTCGGTGGTGTGTAATTAAAGATGACCTACGAGTAAATGTTTTGCCGCAATCTGTACATGGAAACTGTTTCTCAATGTCTTGTCTGTTTTTAGACCTTTGCCCGATTTTATAGCATTTATAACTTTTTGGTTGCGTGTGTTTTTCTACTTTTGACATTTTTTTCTTCTTCGTATTGCATAGCTCATTTTCACTAGTTCTCTCTTTAGCCTCTTTTTGATCTGTTGGAGCAAGCTGTCCATGTGAATACGATTCAGATTTCCTGGTTTCTTTTTGAGTTTTGGACATGTATTCATTCCTAGGCTCTGGGATACCTTTCTCCATATAACTGGGTGTATTACTGGGTGTATTAGGACTGGTATACCTAGGAAAGACAAATTACATTATGTTATTAGTTGTGTACCATTTAAACATGGGGAAAAACTGCAATGAAATACATATATTTACAAAATAGACCACCATTTGCAACTAGCCACACATTGATAACAAAATACGTTTTTTAGGGAACTTTCTGAGTTTTGTTTCCGATAAATGCATTTACTAAAAGTTGGCACATAGAATAGGCTAATACAATACAGACACAGTTCATATGAATCATCACTTATAAAAGTTCGTTTCGCATTTGCAGAGCAGTTAGGTAAAAGAGGGACACCTGGATGTATCTTATATTTTCCTGTAAAAATAGTGAAGACACTGACTACTGAAGGGACTTTTAATTAAAAATGATTGGTTACAACTAAGAAAAAGTGATTGCTACTTCGGTATGTGCACAAAGAAAGAATGAAATTGTGACATTTTGTTTAGTAAACAGGATTTCTCAAAAATATGACTATATCTTTCATTCCTGTAAGTAGTCACTTTCTCGGTTTATAAGAACACTACCACTGGAGGTCCATGCACCCCACCACTCAGAATATGGAAATGGTCCATGCTACGCTAATACACCCACTTTATGACAAATGAATAGATCAGGACTGTCATGATATACTATATATCTTATATGGTAAGGGCTTATGTATATAAAAAAAAAAATAGCACCTTAAATACCATGAAAGGTGACACTTTATGTGCCATGAAAACAAGTAAGAATTTTCATGGTCTATCTTAGAATGCACTTTGCTGTAATTAATGGCACTTGCCAAGCTAAATAACCTCTTAGGTGCCAAGTGGCCCAGAGTCAAAATCTTCAAAGGGATGTGGAAAAGAAGAATGAGTTAGATGCTGCGTAGTTGTCCAAAATAATTTAATTTTCTGTAGTTTAGTTTAATTCCTGTAGTTGACAAACAGCAGAGCACATTTCGGCAATTCCCACAGTCAATAATAGCGACGGCTGTGAAATAAGGGCATCTTTTCGCACAATGTGAGAGTTATTCTATTAAGGACCCCGCCACCTTGCAAGATCCTCCACAGACGTCTGTGATATACTCTACTGTATGTGCGAAAGTGTAACCGTGATGCATGGTCCTGGTAGATGAAACGCAAGGAGTTTTAAAAGGAACATGGCAGCAACAGCAACAGGGAGCTTCAGGAAAGCATATTTGCCTGGCATTTGTACCAAGTGGGGATGTCAACTTCAAGGGTCTTTTATTCAAAGACCCTTAAAGGTGAAAAATAAGCTTTGAAGCACCAGAACCACCTAAGCTTAATGAAGTGGGTTTGATGCATAAATCACACCCCTACAGTCTTTCATGTGTAAAAGGAGACAATATATTTTATTCAACTAATTTATAAAGTATCCAGCATTTAATTATCAAATAACTTTTGTTCATTATCTTTTACCAATACTGATCTTCATATATTATTTTATAGCTTCCAAATGTCCTTACTGTGTCCATTATACCCCTCTATGAGAAACATCTGCTTAGATACTTTCCAGCATTGATCAAGGGTGTTAGTGCTGAGCAAAATGGGAGTAGGTAGGACTCAAGGGATCTAAGAGAAGCATTTTGGTAAAGTAATGAATGCACACTTTAACTGTCTTGGTTACGTGTATTAAAAATTCATGATTTTTATCCTCAACTATTCCCAAGAAATGTGAAACTCCTTGCAGGAAGCTTGACCATTTACAGTTTCGTGAATAATTCTAACTATGGCATTTAATAATAGATACATAATACATTATTGAATTTTGATGTGAAATCATGCAATTTGCATTGTAATTTTGTATTCCAATGCAAATTACGAAGCTTGGCGCAACAATCGAAAAAAATAATGAAACAAAGAGTTTGCTATGTTCCAAATAACAGAACGGCAATGCTAAGATTGCAACATTCTTCCTTAAAGTGATAATAAAATACAGCGTACACACGTACGTACGTACACATATTCCATTAAATATAATGTTATATAACAATGTATAAAGGGAATAAGGTTATATATTCCAATGATGAAGGGGTTATTGTTGCTCAAAAGAGCTTACACTCCAGTTTGTCAATACTCAGTGATTTATAAATTTGCTGGCACCCCCAGTGTGGCCCCCTTGCCCCCAGTGTGGCCCCACTGATGGTACACCCTGCCAATTAATGTTTAAATACAGACAGGAGAGGCAGGAAGGGCCCTGGGGCTGAGAATCTCTCTCCCACTCAGAGCTGAGGGCTATAGAGCCACTTTCCAGCCCTCCCCTGCAGTAATAATCCCAGCTCTCACTGAGGAAGCCTGCCCTGCAGTCCGCACCGCCGCTTCCTGCACACACTGGCTTACCTTGCCCAGCTCAGCCTTTTGTCTATATGAATGGCCGGCGGAGGGGGCGGGGCAATCCGGAGACCAATCAATGGCGGTGTGCGCAGAGGACCCTGGGAGATGTGTTCCTTTCTCACTGCTGTATAAAGACGTACTGTGAGCAGAGGGACTACGATTCCCGTAATGCATCACTGCGGAGGCGGACATGGGAGGTGTGCCAGCCAATGGGAGAACAGGCTGAGCTGTCAATCTCTATTATACCTTGCCCGGGATAGTCTGAGAGTCTGTACAGGGATTTACCTACCGGCTACACCGTGCTGGAGGAGCTGGGCAGTGCTGAGGGCCACCCACCGGGCAAGGCTTGGATGGAGGGAGACAGACTGGGCACACACTGACCCTGGGCAGGAGCTGGCAAGCAGGGCATTCACTGGGCACACACTGACCCTGGGCAGGAGCTGGCAGCAAGGGCTCTTACTAGAAACACACTGACCCTGGCAAGCAGGGCATTCACTGGGCACACACTGACCCAGGGCAGGAGCTGGCAAGCAGGGCACTAACTGGGCACACACTGACCCTGGCAAGCATGGCATTCACTGGGCACACACTGACCCAGGGCAGGAGCTGGCAAGCATGGCATTCACTGGGCACACACTGACCCAGGGCAGGAGCTGGCAAGCATGGCATTCACTGGGCACACACTGACCCTGGCAAGCAGGGCATTCACTGGGGACACACTGACCCTGGCAAGCAGGGCATTCACTGGGCACACACTGACCCAGGGCAGGAGCTGGCAAGCATGGCACTCACTGGGCACACACTGACCCTGGCAAGCATGGCATTCACTGGGGACACACTGACCCTGGCAAGCAGGGCATTCACTGGGCACACACTGACCCTGGCAAGCAGGGCATTCACTGGGCACACACTGACCCTGGCAAGCAGGGCATTCACTGGGGACACACTGACCCTGGCAAGCAGGGCATTCACTGACCCTGGCAAGCAGGGCATTCACTGGGCAAACACTGACCCTGGCAAGCAGGGCATTCACTGGGCAAACACTGACCCAGGGCAGGAGCTGGCAAGCATGGCATTCACTGGGGACACACTGACCCTGGCAAGCAGGGCATTCACTGGGGACACACTGACCGTGGCAAGCAGGGCATTCACTGGGCACACACTGACCCTGGCAAGCAGGGCATTCACTGGGGACACACTGACCCTGGCAAGCAGGGCATTCACTAGGCAGACACTGACCCTGGCAAGCAGGGCATTCACTGGGGACACACTGACCGTGGCAAGCAGGGCATTCACTGGGCACACACTGACCCTGGCAAGCAGGGCATTCACTGGGGACACACTGACCCTGGCAAGCAGGGCATTCACTAGGCAGACACTGACCCTGGCAAGCAGGGAATTCACTGGGCAGACACTGACCCTGGCAAGCAGGGCATTCACTGGGCACACACTGACCCTGCAAGCAGGGCATTCACTGGGCACACACTGACCCTGGCAAGCAGGGCATTCACTGGGCACACACTGGCCCTGGCAAGCAGGGCATTCACTGGGCAAACACTGACCCTGGCAAGCATGGCATTCACTGGGCAAACACTGACCCTGGCAAGTAGGGCATTCACTGGGCACACACTGACCCTGGCAAGCAGGGCATTCACTGACCCTGGCAAGCAGGGCATTCACTGGGAACACACTGACCCTGGCAAGCAGGGCATTCACTGGGCAAACACTGACCCTGGCAAGCATGGCATTCACTGGGCACACACTGACCCTGGCAAGCAGGGCATTCACTGGGGACACACTGACCCTGGCAAGCAGGGAATTCACTGGGCAGACACTGACCCTGGCAAGCAGGGCATTCACTGGGCACACACTGACCCTGCAAGCAGGGCATTCACTGGGCAGACACTGACCCTGCAAGCAGGGCATTCACTGGGCACACACTGACCCAGGGCAGGAGCTGGCAGCAAGGGCTCTTACTAGACACACACTGACCCTGGCAAGCAGGGCATTCACTGGGCACACACTGACCCAGGGCAGGAGCTGGCAGCAAGGGCTCTTACTAGACACACACTGACCCTGGCAAGCAGGGCATTCAATGGGCAGACACTGACCCTGGCAAGCAGGGCATTCACTGGACACACACTGACCCTGGCAAGCATGGCATTCACTGGGCAGACACTGACCCTGCAAGCAGGGCATTCACTGACCCTGGCAAGCAGGGCATTCACTGGACACACACTGACCCTGGCAAGCAGGGCAGACACTGACCCTGCAAGCAGGGCATTCACTGGGCAGACACTGACCCTGGCAAGCAGGGCATTCACTGGGCACACACTGACCCTGGCAAGCAGGGCATTCACTAGGCAGACACTGACCCTGGCAAGCAGGGCATTCACTGGGCAAACACTGACCCAGGGCAGGAGCTGGCAGCAAGGGCTCTTACTAGACACACACTGACCCTGGCAAGCAGGGCATTCACTGGGCACACACTGACCCTGGCAAGCAGGGCATTCACTGACCCAGGGCAATGGGGGGCTGCAGGTACTAACCCTGGGCAATGGGAGGCTGCAGGGACACTTACTGCACAGACACTAACCCTTGGCAATGGGAGGCTGTGGTTGTTTTACCTATTTTGTTTCTAGGAAATGCAATAAAAACATGAGACAAAACTAAATAAGATACCTTTCCCAGATGTCAGGCTTACTAATGAAACACATTTATTGGAAGTTCATCAATGAACGTATGGGGATACAGCACATTTTTAATTAAAAAGAAAAGTGTATTGTTTTAGCTAACCTCTTCTTTTTTTTTTTTCTTCTTTTTTTTAAATAAGGCAGCAGGTGCTGTACTTTTCTATACATTGTTATACACCTACTCTTATTTTCTGTGTAATTGCAAGGTAGTCCTGCACTCTCTAGAAGTGAAATAACTAAATCTTTTACACGACAGCAACCAATTTGCCAAATTAAAGGAATACTCAAACTTTGTTTTTACTGTTATAGTCTTGCATTTCTTTTTGTTTACATTATGGGCCTCCTCCTTGTTTCAATATAAAAAAAAAAGCTACACATTTTTTAAATCTACCTGTAATGCAATGCTAGGACAATTTCCTCTTTACAGCCACTCTGCCTGCAGTATAGTAAAACCTTACCTTTATTCCAGTCTGCTGGTGCTGGCTCTGCCACAGATTTGCCTTCTTGGCTGACATTATCAGAAGACAGCATTGGATTGGCTAAGATTGTCAATAGTGATGATCTCAGCCAAGAAGGTGGGCAGGGGGGCAGAGCCAAACACCAACTTGGCCAATCAGCATCTCCTCATAGAGATGCTTTGAATCAGTGCATCTCTATGAGGAAAGTTCAGCGTCTCCATGCACAGGGTGGAAACACTGAATGCACTACCCCAGGAAGCACCTCTAGTAGCCATAAGAGGAGTGGCCACTACAGGTGTCCCTAGGGTAGCAATGTAAAATACAGAGTTTGCTGAAATCCTGCAGGGACTGAAAATACTCACCAGAACAACTACATTAAGCTTAATCTTGAGATTATAGTGTCCCTTTAAGTAATATTTCCTTATTTAACTAGTCTAGTGCTGAGCAATATATTAACAATATAAATAATAATGTAATTCATTGAATGCAATTAATATATTACAAAGTCCACCTATGATCAATCTTTGATCAATGTGATTTGGATACGGGAGCAATCCCATAGAGTTAATAACATTTCTTTTATTTTTGTAACATTTTTGTGTTTGTTTCTAAGAAAAAACAAAACAAAAAAAAAAGACAAACAAATATGTAAAAGCCTGGAAGCAAACTACACGTTCACTTATGACTGTTATACATCTACACTATGGGGGGTTTGTTGACTAAGCACAGAACAATAATGAGCCGAAAATCAAAATGTAAAGTTTTATATAATGTAGTAAAAAAAAAAAAGTCTATAAATAATAGTTCACTATACACCAAAGTGTAGTGAATTGAATGCCAAATGTAGGACCTAAGTAGCCAAGCTGGTACTACAGCAGAGATGGACAGTTTATTTGAAATCTGCTATTTTTACTCACATTTTGTAATTCAGGAAAATGCAATTTTAAAAAGGCTGTTAAATGATCTTCCAGTTGTTTAAAGGACCACTATAGTGCCAGGAAAACATACTCGTTTTCCTGGCACTATAGTGCCCTGAGGGTGCCCCCACCCTCAGGGTCCCCCTCCCGCCCGGCTCTGGAAAGGGGAAGAGGGGTTAAACTTACCTTTTTCCAGCGCTGGGCAGAGAGCTCTCCTCCTCCTCTCCGCCTCCGTTCCACGCGCATTCAGCCGGTCACATAGGAAAGCATTCATAATGCTTTCCTATGGACGCTTGCGTGCTCTCACTGTGAAAATCACAGTGAGAAGCACGCAAGCGCCTCTAGTGGCTGTCAATGAGACAGCCACTAGAGGGAATGGGGGAAGGCTTAACCCATTAATAAACATAGCAGTTTTTCTGAAACTGCTATGTTTATGAAAAAATGGGTTAACCCTAGCTGGACCAGGCACCCAGACCACTTCATTAAGCTGAAGTGGTCTGGGTGCCTAGAGTGGTCCTTTAACTCTAAATCAGCATGCCCTCAAAGTTTTCGATTCACAACATTTTGGTGTTTATTGAATAAGTCCCCATAGTGTGATACAATACTAATGCACCAAATAAGCTCCAAAACATATACTTTTTTTTTTTACATAACTTTTGGTGCATGTTTTGTAGATTGGTATTGACAGCTGAAATACCATCATGCAACAGTTTAAAAAAAATGGAATATGCAGCATGTTGACCATTTTTACATATTTCAGGTATTATTTATATATTTTCCACAAAGAAATAGTGAATAGAAAAATGAGACTAGTAGGCATACAAAGGGTTTGAAACTGAAATTCTATTCAGAGATGGAATCTTCAAATTGTCATTTCCATTTAACACACTTAGTGTTCGATTCTATTACAACAGATAAACTTACCAAGGGTGATGAAAGGGACACTTTAAATAGTTACAAAAACTATTTTAGCTTAAAGAAGCAATTTTGGTGTATAGATCATGCCTTTGCAGTCTCACTGCTCAATTCTCTGCTATTTAGAAGATAAATCACTTTGTTTATGCAGTCCTAACCACACCTATTCGAATGAAACTTGCACAGCCTTCCTAAACACTTGTAAAGAGCTATGTAATGTTTACACTTCCTTTATTGCAAATTCTGTGTCATTTAGAATTATTTATCTCTTGCTCGGTTTATAGCCTAGTAGACCCTTTAATGTTATTAAAGGTCAGCAGGGGATAAACTCTAAAGTAAGTTACATCTGATTGAAAATGAAACCATTTTGTTTTCATGCAGGCTGGTGTGCCTAGGGCTGCATAAACAGAAATAAGTGATTTAACTCCTAAATGGCAGAGAATTTAACAGTGGGACTCCAGAGGCATGACCTATACACCAAAACTGCTTCATTAAGCTAAAGTTGTTTTGGTGACTATAGTGTTCCTTTAAATATCAGTTCGTACTCTGGCATCTATTTTTTTGCTGCGGTGGTGTGAGAGAGAAATTATTTCCATTGTTTTCATTTGTGTAGTTTTGCAACAGAAACTCCAGTTTCCCACTGAATTCTAACAGTCCTTGAAAGTCTTCATAGGGCCTTGTGGTCATTGTAATAGAATAAGCCTCATTAAAAAATACCCTACGTAACATCAGGTTCAGCATTTATGCATTTCTCATGCAGGCGTGATTTGGCATGTTTTTTAAATGTCTCTAGCTTGAACGGCCCTGAAAAGCCTTTTACGACCTTAGACCCATGGTCAGCAATGCTGGGGCAGGCGGCACATACCCCACACATGGCTATGCCTGTTGTTGCATCATATTTAAGCCAGGTTAGCTCCCTTAACCACTCTTCCCTGAATTTTCTCTTTTTCGGTGTCTGGCTTGTTGATGGATCCGATGGATCGTCCATCGGTGATCCTTCTCTTCGGCCATCTAAGGTTTCTGTAGCTTTAAGTGGAGCGCCGTAGGTTACCACAGAAGATGAATTTGGAAAGAAACGTGTCATCCTTAATTGCTTTTTATGTAATGGTTTTCCAGCTTTTGCTCCACTCTTCATACTTCCAGAATGACCTAATAAAAAGTGCATGTTTTAGTGAAGATCTTATCAATTTTTATATTACAGCTAGAGGGGGGAAAATATGATGGAATAAATATGAATATAATAATAATGTAATAATTTGCGCTTTTCTCCCTGTGAGACTCAAAGCACTTTACAAGTTTCTGAAGGTCAGCTGAGCAGACTGAATGCCTGATGGAAGAGGTTGCATCAGATACAAGTTGCTTCTACTGCCATCTACCACTTACTCAGGATACTGCAAACCAACCTTACAATAAAGCCGGCTGTGTGCATGTAGTTTGATTTTTTTGTACAGTAGTGGGAGGTAAAGGAACAGCCTTATAAGACTAGGATATTATTGTACATAACTTATTAGCCATCTTTGTTACCTTTCTTTTTAGTTTTGTTACAGTTGCTTCTACAGTAGCCATCTACCACTTATTCCGCTAGGATACTGCCAAACATCCAGGGGCCTTGTTCTCATCACTGTGGGACGATCTTGCAATTTTTTTTCTCTTATTCTGCAAAGCTAACTTATGCCACTACCAGGGAAGTCATATCTGGATATCAGATATGAGGGTTGTGCAGAACATGTTGCCCATTGCATTGTATATATGAACAGTGGCCATGCTGAATTCCATGATGCTGAATATTACTCACTTGCAAACGTCTCTGTCTTGCTGTTTATTTGACCAGTGATGGTCTCACACATCTGTTCTCCTTCTTGTATCGCTAGCACTTCACCTAGATTTTCAGGAGAAAAGGATGTTATTTAGAATTGAAGACTAATTAGTTCCGTGCATGTCGATACACATGTATCCTATGGTGCTTTTTTTCTTATAGATAAAAATAAGTCCTGCGCTCAGACTTCTACTACTCCTGGACGGCAGCAATGAGCATAGTACACATCAGCCCCAATACATATAATAAAAACCTAAAGAAAAGAGTTACTTACTCCCTATGCATATTTATATAACTGGAGGTTTTTAATACCACTCCAATGGCCATTAGATGTAAGCCCACCTGCCACATCAAAGCAAAACTTCTTAGGTGAGTCCTACACAAACAATTCACTGTACTCGCTTCAGCTTCAGGTAAAACAAACAAATCTCTCATGAGACAGAGAGGGGTCATTTTCTAAACCCCTACATACTTATTAACCCTTACTAGGGAACACATGGGGTCAGTGGCAGCATTGTAACATGGCTGTGCCATACAAAAGTGAATGCAAATACACAAAAATAAGTCCTGCGCTCAGACTCCCACTACTTCTGGGCGGCAGCAATGATAATAGTACACATCAGCCCCAATACACAATAAAAAAAGAGAAAAGAGTTACTTTATTCTGTGAAGCTATATTATGCCACTACCAGGGAAGAGACTGGTCCAATAAAATTATGTCCTGTACCTGAATATCAGGTATGAGACACCTGCAGAATCTATTGTCCATTGCATTGTATAAATAATTAGTGGCCAGTGGGCATGCTGAATTCCATGATGGAATCCATAATGCTGAATATTACTCACCTGCAAATATCTCTGACTTGCAGTTTATTTGGTCAGTGACTGTTTCATTCATCCATTCTCCTTCTTGGATCGCTACTACTTCACCTAGATTTTCAGGAGAAATGCATATTAATTAGAAGTGAAGATTGGTTACTTCCATTGATGTCGATCCACATGTATCCCATGGTCAATTTTTTCTTATGTCTAAGTCACATGCAAAATATCTATCAGTTTTCATAAAAGCAGAATCTGTTAATTGCCCGGGTGTATTTCTTGCACCCTAGGTTAAAGGTCCACTGCCCTGTGGAGATTGGGAGAAAAAGAGGGTGGGAAAATATACACTGCTGGACTTCTCATACGTACATGCCACCATCTTCTTCTCTTCAGCTGCTGAAAATGCAAATTGGGAGGCCTATGGAAGATCCTACAGGACCATGAGATCTCTCCATAGATCTTATAAACAAAGAAATGTCACAAGACCTGTGGTCAATTGAACAAGAACATGACTTTTTAAGCAAGTTAATAAATATGTTGGCCTTGCCATGATTTGCTATTTCCAGACACATACCTCACCCAATAAAGTTTATGGTACCTGGAGTGTCCCTTTAACCCATTAAGGATCAAACTTCTGGAATAAAAGGGAATCATGACATGTCACACATGTCATGTGTCCTTAAGGGGTTAAATGCAACACATGCTGTCAAAGTACTAGTTAGTGAATACAATTATTATTCTACATATTTCTCACCTGCGAAGATCTCTGGATTCATTGGTTCTTGGTCTGTGTCACTTTCATTCATTCCATTTTCCTCTAGGTTTCCATGAGATGCGTCTAATAATGACAGAGAAGAACTAGACAGTCCTGCTTTGATTTACACAATAAATGATTTATGATGTTTAGATTTGTCTAGGAATGTAAGGTGTGTGTAATTCAGATATATGCACACTCCCATGAGAATGTAAGCTTATCTGAACAAGGTTTAATCAAATGGAACCCAGCTGAGATACTCCAGACTGGATGACAAAAAGGGTATTTACATATGAATCAATATGTTAAAATGAAAACATAGTCTTCTCTCCATCCCTCGTTACTGTTGGCCTTCCAACCAGAGTATTCAACAAGTATTTTTTATATCATCCAGATACATAGTCTTTAGCTGATAATTAAAAACATAGAGGCTCTTAAAGAAAGTGTTATTCATTTACTTGGCATCCCATCCTGGGGTTTCCTTGTGTATAAAGCATTTTCTTGCTATTCTATTGCCTTAACTTGGAACTTGACTTGCGATGCATTAAAAAATTAAAGATGTGTTACCTAATTACTTGAAAGGGCAATAATTTCACATTAACTTTTAAGACAGATAATCTAAACAAGATAAATACAGAAAATGGATAAGTGGCGCTAAAAATCTAATAAGAGGTATAAAATAAGGTAAATAGTATATCCCAGTGTGCCTAAATACACCCCAGTGTTATGTGACAAAAAACACTCACATAAACGAATGGACACAGAGAAAAGGGCGGTTTGCGCACACAATGGTATATAGTGGTTACTGAATTTATATCTGCAAGGTACAATCATAAAAAACCATCATAGGGTAATATGCATATGCAAAATATAAAATAGAAAGTAACTTGGAGCACTCACAATATCTAGAGCCATGTAAGTCAGCTCTAAACTATGATGGCGTGTTCATACATCCAATATTGGTACTGGAAAAGATGCAGGTCGATCTGCCAGAATTGGTATTGGGGTATAGCTTCCCCTCCCCTAACCGCAATACCAATTCTGGCAGATCGATTCACTAAAGTAAACATAGCCTGTGGAAACCTCCAGCTCCCGCCTGCGACTGAAATAGGTGTTGGATTTTTACTAAGTTTTCTGGGGGACCTGCATCTTTTCCAGTACCAATATTGGATGTATGAACACGCCATCATAGTTTAGAGCCGACTTACATGGCTCTAGATATTGTGAGTGCTCCAAGTTACTTTCTATTTTTTATTTTGCATATACATATTACCGTATGATGTTTTTTTATGATTTACCTTGCAGATATAAATTTAGTAACCACTATATACCATTGTGTGAGCAAACCGCCCTTTTCTATGTATCCAGACAATCTAAACAGGTTGCATTTTTTTTTTTTTAATAAATAAAAACAAAATGCTTTTAAAAAAAAAATAAAGGTATGCCAATTGGTTTCCTTTAAGCCCACACTCATTAACAATACTGAAAATTCAATGTCAATGTTTAATCATTCTGGATCTTGCATTCCTGTATCATAGCAGATCACTAACCATAGCACATATGAACAATTATTAGAGGCCATCATGTAGTGCATTTAAATGTAAAGAACAGAATATGGTTACATAGGATCGACAAATCCATCTATACATAGATCATTATATGTTGGCTGATTTAACAGTCTACATACAGTCCATATATATGGAATTATTTGGTTCATAAATCATAAAAAAAAATTATAAATATATATATATATATATATATATATATATATATATATATATATATATATATATATATATATATATATACACACACACACACACACACACACACACACACACACACACTTGACAAGATAGCAGGAATTACCTGAGTTTCTGCTCAATGAAAAGCCAAAAGGAGTTTGGGGGCCCACTGTCACCACATCCTTGTATCTGTCCTTGTGTCCTTCTATATATTCCCATTCCTCCATGGAAAAGAAGACTGCAATATCATCACATATTACAGGCACCTGAAACACACACAGAATCCCATTTAGTGTGACTTATGGAATTTAAACCGATAAGAAAACTGACTTCTCATCACAGGAGTATTAACAAGCCATAAAACTCTGAAGGCCAGCGTTAGCCATTGCTGTAGGAGAAATGGAATGATCTTTGTAAGAATCTCATGTGAGAATCACACAAATGAGATAGGTCAGGTAAAATATAGCAATCGTAGACATCCAACCCAGTGCTCACATCCAATCTTTGCCATCCAGATTGGATGGAATCACACTTGATGTTGGGAAATTGTAATTTGTGTAGTACAGGGTAAACTGATAAGGGGGGCATTCAGTAGGTGCCAGGAGAGATGAGGGGGTGGGGGAGGGGGGACGGGGTAGCAAGTGTACATGCATAGCACCATAACCACAACAAAGAGTTGTGAGGGGTTATATTGCTTGGAGTTCCTTTCTAAGTAAAGTCCAACTGCAGTAAAATAACTTGAAACCATTTCCAATGACAGATTCAAATCGGTTGACATTCTTGTCATTAATAGAAACTTTGATTGCAGTCAAAACAATAGAAAATGTATGTACTAAATAAACTAGCCATCAGTTTGCTGGATTGCGCTTCAGAAAAGCTATACATGAAAGCAAACAGGAACCACAAGATTGCTCTGAGAGCCAAACATAAAAGAACTGTATTAACCATATGCTTTCTGTAACACTGAGAACGGGGTGTAGTCAGAAATAGTTCCACATTCTAGCAGTGTATGATTAGTTTATGAGAACATTTGGAATATTTACATACAGTACATGTACAGAACAGTGTTACTGGAGTCCAATAGGTCTCACCTCTCCAGACAGAAGATGAATGTTGCTATGGAGAGATTTCTTTTTCACGATGACGTATTCCTGCAAAAATACAGAGCAGTATCCCCAATGTTAATGCAAGGGAGAACTTTGTGAAACATGAGTGTGTAAACATTTCTCTTGAGCGTCCCCTCACCCTCTGGGTCCCCCTCCCGCCGGGCTCTAGGGTGAGGAAGGGGTTAAATTCCTACCTTTTTCCAGTGCCGGGCTCCCTCAGTGCTGGGGAATCTTCTCTTTCTTCTACTGTCATCGGCTGAATGCGCATGCGCAACAAGAGCCGCGCGCGCATTCAGCCAGTCTCATAGGAAAGCATTCTCAATGCTTTCCTATGGACGCTGGCGTCTTCTCACTGTGAAAATCACAGTGAGAATCGCGGAAGCGCCTCTAGCGGCTGTCAATGAGACAACCACTAGAGGCTGGATTAACCCATAGGTAAACATAGCAGTTTCTCTGAAACTGCTATGTTTACAGCAGGCAGGGTTAATCCTAGATGGACTTGGCACCCAGACCACTTCATTAAGCTGAAGTGGTCTGGGTGCCTATAGTGGTCCTTTAAATAGCTGAACTGGGGTAAGAATTCCACAAAAACCTGATTTAGTGAATTTCCCTGATAGGAATATAGGGTTACAAGAAATTAAAATACATAGTCTGGGTGCAGATTTAACTCTATGATAAAAAAAAAACAAAAACAAAAAACAGTACAAACAACCAACACATTTATCAGTATGAGTTACATGATATACAGATAAAAAACTGGGTAAGTACATGGAGTTGAGACATTTGTTAACATGATTCAGTCCCTTAAGGCCTATGTCATTAGAATACTCAGAGTCTCACTTACATCTCCGGTCATCAAATAGATTATGTCAAGGGCATTTTTTAGGACCGCTTCGCTCACCAGCTTCTGCCTGTTCATTATTACCCTGTAATACGGATCACCTAGGAGGACAGAAACAATGTCACAAGCAGAAATGCACAGGGTAACGACTGACCTTTAAATAGAGTCTGTAGTAACTTTGATAACTGACTGTGCATCTCTCTAATCTACTTTATCAGTGCATGGAGCCTGACGGTAGGCAGATATGCCAACTTCTAAATAGTCATTGGTTGTGATATACACGTATAATATGCAACCATGTTTTTAACACCGTCATTGCATCTTCACCTTTACCCTGCTTGTTCTCACTACTATTATTTTATATATAAAAATGTTAGATAATGAATGCAAATAATTAACTATACACAAAAACTGCTCCATTAAGCTAAAGTTGTTTTGGTTGCTATAGTGTCCCTTTAATGTCCACTCATTTAATAAATGGAGGGCCATATAGAGCTGCAAATTAAATATACTGGATATTACATGCTTGCACAGGGTATGTTGGGACCGATATTTGTTTTTTTTTTAAAATGAATGATTCTCCATAATTTCCAGTTTAATGTATAAACCTTTTTGTGATTTTCCTGAAAGCTAGATTATATTTCACACCAACAATCAAGCTCATGCAGATGTATATTATATTCTGCACTTTCTGTATCACCAGTTGTGGGTTTATTCTCTAAACAGCAAAGAGTACTGAAATGAAAACACTATATACTGTTTATTGTATCTGTTTTACAATTTTGTATCCAAAAGAAAAGAATCTTACACCCTAGCTATTCTAGAATTAAAGGGACACTGTATGATGTCTGAATTCTCCTGGACCATCCCACTGTTCCATTCTAAAACATTTATTTACTGGTGTAATAGTTTTCGAGAGCCCCCAGTTTCCTGCAGCCCTGGGGCTCTCTGTTGCTAGAGCTAATGCTTGAAAATTAGCGTGGGCAGCGATGGGCAGCAGTGATCCGGTCAGAGGGTCAGTCGAGTTCTTTCAGCCAATCACTGCCATGTCAACAATCACTGGTATGTATTAGTATTGCTAATGTGGAATTACATTCCATCGTAGGCACACATCCACCATTGGCAGTGCCACAGGTACCCAGGAACCTCATTCAAGGTCAATCCAATTGAAATGGTTTATAAAATACTAATCAATTAGGTTACTTTGGCCTAGAATTTAAAAAAATACCACAGCCGGTTCTCCACAAACACTACTTTACTGAATAACGCCCCAAACATTATAGTTGTGTGGTCAGATAATTGGATGCACAAACCGCATTTGTCATAGGATTTTATTTGCACGCCCTCAATTTACAAACTATAGGTAGCACGCCTGGCATCTGCATAATTTAAATAAATCATAATAATAATAATAATAATATTATTACCTTCTTGCAATAACTTTATATTGAAAAGTATGTTACACTGGGGCAATCTTTTCTTTCAAACACAAACCCTTTCTTTACTATATCAGTAACAAATGATATAGTAATAACAGTAATTTATGGCCAGGGGATTGTTTATTTAAAATTAATTATTATGCTTCTTAGGTTTGAAACAAGCTTGTTTCACAGTTAAAGGACCACTATAGTGCCAGGAAAACATACTCGCTTTCCTGGCACTATAGTGCCCTGAGGGTGCCCACACCGTCAGGGTACCCCTCCCGCCGGGCTCTGGAGAGAGGAAGGGGTTAAAATCTTACCTTTCTCCAGCGCCGAGCGGGGAGCTTTCCTCCTCCTTCCTAACGACGTCATCGGCTGAATGCGCATTCAGCCAGTTCATAGGAAAGCATTTCTCAATGCTTTCCTATGGACGCTGGCGTCTTCTCACTGTGATTTTCACAGTGAGAAGCGCAGAAGCACCTCTAGCGGCTGTCAATAAGACAACCACTAGAGGCTGGATTAACCCATTTATTAACATAGCAGTTTCTCTGAAACTGCTATGTTCATAAAAAGAAAGGGTTAACCCTAGCTGGACCTGGCACCCAGACCACTTCATTAAGCTGAAATGGTCTGGGTGCCTAGAGTGGTCCTTTAAATGAGCAACATCACAGTAAAGATAATGAATTTATCCCATTGGTATATGAGTGCCTTTTATTACCCAGCATTACCCAGTATCAATCATTGTATCCCAGTAAATGATGGAGTTATTGACCCCCAGTGTCACAGAGCTGGCAGTCACTGTGTTTACATGGGGACATGGAGCGCACAGTCTGCACCCTGCAGCCTCAGCTACTCACTCCCCAACTTCCTACCTGAGACAGGAGCAGCCAGCCTGTGACACAGGGCGGACATCTGATTGGCTGAACGCAGGACCGAGGACAAGGGATCCTGGAACTTGTGGTTCCATTGAACATGCGAGTTAATTCACAGGAGGGGAAATAAAACTAACTCTCCCAGAATGCTCTGCGGAGTAGTAGTGATCACGTGAAATATCCACCAATCAGATCACAGAACCAGCTTCACGCTGCATAGACGGGGGGGAGGTTCATTAGTAAAATTAGTGGGGCGGCAGTTTCCCCCCAAGAAAGTAGCTTCAAAATGTTTTGTTAGGGATTAAAAATACCTTCAACGTGTATCAAGCCAGCTTTGTCATTTAATTAGTAAACCAGCACTGTAGCTACAGAGTCTCAGCCATGGTGACAGGCTTTGTGATCTGATTGGTGGATATTTCACGTGATCACTACTACTCCGCAGAGCATTGTGGGAGAGTTAGTTTTATTTCCCCATCTGTGTATTAACTCGCATGTTCAATGGAACCACAAGTTCCAGGATCCCTTGTCCTCGGTCCTGCGTTCAGCCAATCAGATGTCCGCCCTGTGTCACAGGCTGGCTGCTCCTGTCTCAGGTAGGAAGTTGGGGAGTGAGTAGCTGAGGCTGCAGGGTGCAGACTGTGCGCTCCATGTCCCCATGTAAACACAGTGATTGCCAGCTCTGTGACACTGGGGGTCAATACCTCCGTCATTTACACTGTATTTAAAGGAAAGTGCATGGAATAATGTTGTGATAGGGAATATAGTTTTATTCTTAGTATTTAAAGGGACACTATAGTCACCTGAACAACTTTAGCTAAATGAAGCAGTTTTGGTGTATAGAACATGCCCCTGCAGCCTCACTGCTCAATCCTCTGCCATTTAGGAGTTAAATCCCTTTGTTTATGAACCCTAGTCACACCTCCTGCATGTGACTTGCACAGCCTTCCATAAACACTTCCTGTAAAGAGAGCCCTATTTAGGCTTTCTTTATTGCAAGTTCTGTTTAATTAAGATTTTCTTATCCCCTGCTATGTTAATAGCTTGCTAGACCCTGCAAGAGCCTCCTGTATGTGATTAACCCCTTAAGGACCAAACTTCTGGAATAAAAGGGAATCATGACATGTCACACATGTCATGTGTCCTTAAGGGGTTAAAGGACCACTATAGTGCCAGGAAAACATACTCGTTTTCCTGGCACTATAGTGCCCTGAGGGTGCCCCCACCCTCAGGGACCCCCTCCCGCCCGGCTCTGGAAGGGGAAAGGGGTAAAAACTTACCTTTTTCCAGCGCTGGGCGGAGAGCTCTCCTCCTCCGATCCTCCTTCTCTCCTCCCCGTCGGCTGAATGCGCACGCGCGGCAAGAGCTGCGCGCGCATTCAGCCGGTCACATAGGAAAACATTCATAATGCTTTCCTATGGACGCTGGCGTGCTCTCACTGTGAAAATCACAGTGAGAAGCACGCAAGCGCCTCTAGTGGCTGTCAATGAGACAGCCACTAGAGGATTAGGGGAAAGGCTTAACCCATTCATAAACATAGCAGTTTCTCTGAAACTGCTATGTTTATAAAAAAAATGGGTTAACCCTAGAAGGACCTGGCACCCAGACCACTTCATTAAGCTGAAGTGGTCTGGGTGCCTAGAGTGGTCCTTTAAACTTCAATTTAGAGATTGAGATACAATTATTTAAGGTAAATTACATCTGTTTGAAAGTGAAACCAGTTTTTTTTTTTTCATACAGGCTCTGTCAATCATAGCCAGGGGAGGTGTGGCTAGGGCTGCATAAACAGAAACAAAGTGATTTAACTCCTAAATGACAGTGAATTGAGCAGTGAAATTGCAAGGGGATGATCTATACACTAAAACTGCTTTATTTAGCTAAAGTAATTTAGGTGACTATAGTGTTCCTTTAATTAAATTGTACAGTATGGGAAGCATTTTACAAGCCCAGCTGGGAAAGCCAGACTGCTACAAACAGAGTTAGATGTTTACAGGCAGTTGCTGACAATTGTATCTGTAAAATAAACTTATTATAATGATTTATATAAACTTGTGCATGCAGCTCTCTGACCACAAGACTCATTCACAGGGGGATTCACTAAAGAGTGAATGGTGGTCAATGACAACAACTGCAAAATTTAGGCAGAAAAGGGCTGATGTGAGGAAAAAAACAAATCTTCCAAATCCTGTGTAGACACAGTAGCCATTTTAGACTAAATTTTGAAATTTGGGTTTCTGCTTATTGCAATACACTGTTTTCATTGTCAGAAATATTCCCTAAACAGGGAATTTTGGAGAAACGAATTGCAGATGTAAGCCATACTTTTTTAAAATTCTGCAAATCGATCACATTTTCAACTTGCTTTGCGCCTTCAGGGATTCTCAGTGAGAGTTATTTGAGCTATAACTGAGTTTATTTTTGTAATAGCTCCGGCATTGAGGCACCTCTATTGGCCGTCTTCTTGAGGAGTGTTTGCCCTGCAATAAAAACATTACTGATCCTGCAAAAGTGCAATTCTTTCAGTTGCAAGATTAAATAGACAGGGGCATGGCACCCAGACCATTGAGATGAAGTAGTCTGAAAGCCTATAGTGTCCCTTTTAACAGTAACAATTTGTCAGGATAACAGCCTTTAATTAGGCTCCTGCATATCTTGAAGGGATCTAGGAATTATGTGTGGAACCATATCTACAGACAGTATGTCTCCAGCAGAGCCATGTCTTCTGCACCCATTGGTTTACCGAGTCTTTGTAAACTCAAACATCAGTTTGTACATTCAGTTATTGTGGTGTTTTGCCAGCAATTGCTGGTAAGTAGGAACTACATGACTTTTCCACTTGAGAACTACAATACTCTCTGCTGCTAAAAACAATGGATGGCCAGAGCTCTTTAATAAAAAGTGATCGTAGTAATCTCGAAGGTGACATCTCTGATTAGTATTTGGTGGCCATGGGATACTTACCTGAAACTGTCCCTCACAGCCCCCGCGATCTTCATCCTGGAGACCTTCTTAAGTTACACCTGTTAGGAGTTATGTCGGTGATACAAAATGATAATATGGTATTTGAAGTTCCAGAGGGGATGTAATTGATGAAAACGAAGATGTAGAGTCAAATGGTTATCTAGAGGAAAATTTGGCCAATATGAAATAGAAGGTACAGAGAAAGGCTCTCTACGAGGAATTGTTAAACCTTGTTTAGTTATGGCTCAGACGTTACCCTGTGCATTTCTGCTTGTGACATTGTTTCTGTCCTCCTAGGTGATCCGTATTATAGAGTAATAATGAACAGGAAGAAGCTGGTGAGCGAAGCGGTCCTAAAAAATGCCCTTGACATAATCTATCTGATGACTGGAGATGTAAGTGAGACTCCGCGTATCCTAATGACATTGGTCTTAAAGGGACTCCCAGGCTCAGTGAATATGCTGTAATTTGCCTAGTGTGAGAGGTGTATAGGTGCACATGTTTAACAAATCTGTTTCTTGCACTGACATTGAAAATGCTGTTCTCTCACTGTGCAGGAATACGTTATCGTGAAGAAGAAATCTCTCCACAGCAACATTCACCTTCTGGCTGGAGAGGTGAGATTTCTGACGGGCTCCCAATAGCACTGTTACTGTTCTGTATGTGTTTCTTCAAATGTTCTCGTAACTGATCAAACACTTTAGGGATATGGATTCAGTACTATTATAAAGCTGTTATATAAAATTACTTTTTTTTTTTTTTATATTTTTATTATATTATACAATTATTGTATGAGCAAGGAGACCATTTCCACCACGTTTTCTAGGACACATATCATACATACATATTGATGGGCAGCACATAAAAAAGGGTAGTCCGGCAGAAGGAAGGTGTATTAGAGGAAGGTGTATTAGATTAAGCAATGAGTCAATGAAGAATCTTGCAGAATATGCATTATACATACTGCAGGGCAACCGTTTTCATGCATTTGTATAAATGTGACAACATTTTATGTGTCCCGATAAACATGGTGGATCTTGTCACCCTACGTATGAGGACATCAGACACGAAGACTCGAATGTAACTCTGTTCTGGACGCAGAATCGCCATCTAGTGGCTGTCAGGGGGGAAGTGTAGCTCTATGTGAACTTTCTCCATATCTCCAAAACAGCAATGTTTTACAATGCAGGAGCGAAACGTCAGGGCCAGTGTACCAAGACCTTCATTGAGCCAAAGTGATTTGTGTGCTCATAGTTTCATTTAAAAGCTGTACAGCATCTGGCAAACCCCCGCTGTAAGAACTTTCATTCGCTAAAGACATGCATTGTTTTTTGTTTTTGTTTTCTTCCATGAATGAGACTACTCACGGCCAGATCTGCTAGAACATCCCAGTGCTACACATAAATGGCAGACATTGGCCCTGCAGTGGTATATGCTTTATTACATATTCTGTTATGTTCGCCTTAAAGATAAATTGTCACTTCCCTGGATTTTTACTATAAGGTTTACCTATCCCATTTTGTTGACACATAGGAGTTTGTGAAGTCAGAATAATCAAATTAAATGTAGAAATCCACACATCTGTCTCAAAAATTGAGGCCTCCATGTTGTTTAAAACTCTGTCTTTTTCCATCACTAAATATAGTGAAGGCAAGAAACAGAACGAATGGAGGAAAAAGAGCAATGTGATGTTTAGTGTTCTAAGCAATGATTTCTGGATAAGTGAAGTTTCAAAGTTTCTCGTATCATTTAATTAGGAGCTGGGTGTACCTTACTAACCTCTAAATATGATGAAACTATTTTGTGCCCCTGGCTTTGTGTTTCTTGCAGAAGCCCCGTGTGGGATTGGCTTTCCATGTGATATGACCGCTTCTAGCAAGAAGCAGCTGTAAGCTCATTAAAAGGCCACCCCTAAGTCACATTGTTTGCTGGCAGTCTTTTATATAGTGTCCACATGCCAATTAAGTCTCCTTGCACTTCTATTTCCACAAGTCACACTAAACAGAATTCTGTGTTTCAGGTGCCTGTAATATGTGACGATATTGCAGTATTCTTCTCTGTGGAAGAATGGGAATATATAGAAGGACACATGGACAATTATAAGGATGTGGTGACAAAGAGGCCAAAAACCCTTAGTCCTTTTGGCCATTCATTAAACAGAAACTCAGGTACTTTCATCTTACATTTATTTTATTTAATTATTGGTTTTAGAATTTAAGAACAAAATAAATCCACAATTTTGAGCTCAAACTACATTTTACATAATGCATAATGTTAAATCAGCCAGCACCTAGAGCTGAATCATTCCATAATATTTAGGTAATAAAGTGCTAGATTCTCTGAAACAGATCTGCAAACATGCCGTGCTGTATGACCTGACACAAAATATTAAAGGCACACAGTAGACAGAAATTGACTTAATTAAATGCGTATATATTAAATAGATAATATATTAGGAAACAGATACATTGCAGAACTTTAAAGTTAAAAAAGTTAAGTTCCGCAGGCAGACCACTGCCTGACCTAGAAGACATTCCATCAATCAGAGCCCTCTCGTTCTATTTACATGTAGATCTATACATCATGTATTTGCACGTAAACCTTTGCACACATTAACATGTGTATCCTGTATGTTGGGATAAAGCAGGGTGGAGAATAGATTGGGCAGGAAGAAACTGAAACACTTAATTTCATAAAAAGTGTATTATGTAAATCAAAGCATGCCTAATAGTCTACTGTTATTACTAGTCCCAGCTGATGGAAAACTAGATACAGTCAGTAATTTAGAGGAAGATGGGATGAATGATAGTGATAAAGAAGAAGACCCATTAAATCCTGAGCTTTTAACAGGTGAGAAATATTCTGAATAATTTTTACAAATTAATATCTTGAACAAAAAAATTACCCACTGGTTTTAAAGGACCACTCTAGGCACCCAGACCACTTCAGCTTAACGAAGTGGTCTGGGTGCCAGGTCCTTCTAGGGTTAACCCATTTTTTCATAATTATAGCAGTTTCAGAGAAACTGCTATAATTATGAATGGGTTAAGCCTTCCCCTAATCCTCTAGTGGCTGTCTCATTGACAGCCATTTTGCTATATGCGTTTCTCACCGTGAAAATCACAGTGAGAGCACGCCAGTGGCTCCAAAGGAAAGCATTGTAAATGCTTTTCCTAAGGAGACCGCTGAATGCGGCTAAGAAGTTTCCTTGTCAAGGTAAGGCGATTCAGTCGGGCGGGCGAATCGAGGCGAGAGAGGAGGAGAGCTCAGCTACCCCCCTTCCAGAGCCGGGCGGGAGGGGGTCCCTGAGGGTGGGGGCACCCTCAGGGCACTATAGTGCCAGGAAAACGAGTATGTTTTCCTGGCACTATAGTGGTCCTTTAACCGTATTAGTGTCATGTCTATTTTAAAGTGTGCACGGGTAGGTCAGGGCAGTTGAAAAGAAATAATACATTTTAGTTTTAATTGTATGCTGATATCTAGTAAAATATTTAACCATCAAAAGAAATATCAGATTGCTTCTCCTATTGTAGATTGCCAGTTCTACTCTTTTTCTCTGCCCCTTTCCGTGGAAGATCAGGCCTGGTATGGTGGAGTTGACATCATCTACCATAAAGTTATTTTAGATGGTTTGAGTTTACTCTTTCACGTGATGTTTCCATTTACACAGCAGGCTCACGTTGCCATATCGATGCTCAGATTTTTGTATTTGACTTATCGTACATTTTGTTGTCCGTTGATGTAAACCATCAGGTTACAAGCAATGAGCTCTTTAAAGAAAGTGAAGTCTTTTAAAGTGAACCTGTCCCTTCTCTTTCCAAATTTTTCATAAATATAGAACTGAAAAAAAAAATACCGTATTTTCCGGCATATAAGACGACTGGGTGTATAAGACGACCCCCAACTTTTCCAGTTAAAATATAGAGTTTGGGATATACTCGCCGTATAAGACTACCCCTCTTCCAATGCACACCAAATAAAAATTAGCCATGATGTACAGTGAGCAGACAAAGCTACACAGCAAGACATTAAATAATGATAATCTGAAATAGCATTTAAAGCCCAGGTATGTGCCAGACTGTTTGGGCATATAATCCATGCCTGCTGGTCTAGCACACAGTAGGCTAATTGCGATATATTCTTTTTACTCCCCCCCTCCATTCTTTTTACTCCCCCCTCCATTCTTTTTAATCCCCTCCTCCATTCTTTTTACTCCCCCCTCCATTCTTTTACTCCCCCCCCATTCTTTTTACTCCCCCTCCCCCAATCCTCCCTACATTCTTCTCACCTCCCCTTCCCTGTGCAGATTGGGTGGCCGAGCTCCTCTTCGTCCTGTCAGTCCAGCCGGGTACCACGTGGTACAGGAGATTCAGTTACCTGTTCCCGGCCGGACTGAAAGGAAGTGAGCACCCCCGGCAGCCATATAGACCCTATACCCGGCGTATAAGACGACCCCCGACTTTAGAGAAGATTTTCCAGGGTTAAAAAGTCATCTTATACGCCAGAAAATACAGTACTTTATATACTGCATTGGAATTTCACTGAAATTCAACCAAAATCAAAATATTATAGATAAGAAAAGTAGGAACTGCAAATGTATGCCCCAGAAGAAGGAAAATCCAGATAAAAAAAATGTTTGCCCTCCGCGTCACCTTGCAACTGTTATAGTTTAACAATAAGCACTGTAACAAACACATAGTTTCTTGTATAAACATACACAAACCAAATTATTCTTCCTCTCTAATTAATATGTATTTCCACTGATACACCTAGGTAAAGTACTAGCAGCGATGCAGGAAGTAGATTGGATGAACAAAAAGGATACCGATCAAATAAACAGAAAGACAGAGATGTTAAAATGTGAGTAATATTCAGCATTATGGAGATGTCATCATGGGACTCTGCAAGTGAAGCTGCTAGACCAGTCCTAACTGTTAGCCCTAAATTTACCAATTACTTAGTTTTATGGGAAATATAATCTGTGGAAGCCTCATAACCTAATATTTGGCAAAAGGAAATGCTTTCTTTAACCCCTTAAGGACCAAACTTCTGGAATAAAAGGGAATCATGGGGTTAAGGACCACTATAGGCACCTAGACCACTTCAGCTCAATGAAGTGGTCTGGGTGCCAGGTCCCCCTAGTTTTAACGCTGCAGCTGTAAACATTTCTCTGAAACTGCTATGTTTACATTGAGGGTTAATCCAGCCTCTAGTGGGTGTCTCAGTGACAGCCACTAGAGGCACATTCCGCAGTTCTCAGTGTGAAATTCACCCTGAGATGACGCTGGACGTCCATAGGAAAGCATTGAGTAATGCTTTCCTATGGGCAGTTTGAATGCGCGTGCGGCTCTTGCCGCGCAAGCGCATCTGGAGCTGACGTCGACAGGGGGAGGAGAGGTCCCAGAAAACAGTCACCAGTTTGGGTCCTACATACAGAATGTTTGGAACAGTAGTTCACTTTGCTACATTGTGTCTTTCCTATACTGATCGATTAAAAAATACACCAAATGCATAGTTATAGGTCGTAGCAAATTATTATCTGTATGAAATAAATCCAGCAGGGGAGGAGGAATCAGCCCTAGAACACGTTATCCACAAGCTTGTAAGGAGAGACTGTGGGAAAAATCTGCACTATGCCACTCAGAATTGTGTTATTCACGAGAGAGAAACATTGAGGACAGTCCATTCATAGTTCTACTTCTTAGTTCTGACCAATAGCCAACTATGGAAAAATTTTTGCAACTGTGATGTAATCTACATTGATGATGAAAAAGGGAAATTATGAATAGGCTTCAGTTACTTTAACATTATCACATTTATTCTTGTGAACAATAACCCATATCAGTTCTACAAACTATTTCTCATTATTGACGAGAGCATACAAGACTCTATATGGGTTTTGTATATCACATATAGAAACTATACTGCTATGTTTATTCTTACTTATTTAGGGCTAACATATACCACAGCCTTACATACATTGCAGATACTTCAACACTTGATTTGACAGACTGAAACTGACAGATACAGTAAGTTTGAGAATCTGGTCTTCAACCTTACCATCTGTTATGTTTAATAATACACTATCATTCTCCGTTTGGTTTCTGGACCTCTTTGACAGTTTTGAGATGGTTGGGAAGCTTGTGGATTGGCTTGATGTGATGTAAAACTGTATTTTATGTAGTTCGGGGGAGGGTTTCACTTAGTATCTGAAATGTGCCAACAGCATCCATCATTAGTGTTTGCTCCCAAATCCAAGTATCCGTCACTAGTTTATACACAGATTTAGAATTTATTCATTTTGTGTAACGTGTAATTCATTTCTTTACTTCCAGTGCAGTCTTTTTCAAAAGGTGCATACAAGGGAAAGAAAGGGGAAAATGAATCATCCATAAAGGACTCTTCATTTAAGGAAATAATTGAAAATGATAGCAGTGTGACTGATTTGTTTAAAAAAGAACCTCGCGCACCAACTCGTCCATCAGTGGAAGATGATACAAATACGTTTCAAGGAGAACCTGAGACTGAAACATGTTCATTGGGTCCAGCAGTAGAAGGTGAAAACACTAGAATTTGCCAGTTTAAATGTGAACCTTCCTCTCCAGTCTGTTCATCAGATCCCCTGGTAGATGACGGTTCATACAGATTTCATGACCAATATGACAAAGAGTTTTCCAAATCGGAGGAATGTGAATTTAACACATTTAAAGGAAATCATCAAACACCGAAATGCTCATCCGATTACTTGGTGGAGAATAGTACAGATAAGTTTCATGAGTTCACAGAAAAGCCTACCATAGACACCTGCACACCAGATCGCACGTTGGAAGGTGATCGTAGAGAACATTGCAAATTCACAACAAAACACTATGCAGTGGCTTCTACATTGGATCAGGCTGCAGGTGGTGATACTGTCAGACTTTTAGAACCTTGCTCATCAGCTTCTCCATCAGATCAGAGACTGCATGGTGATAGTGGTGCACCTTGCAATTCTAAATCGGTCCCTTACACGTCGGCTTTTTCATTGGCACACCCTGTACAACGGGCTATTGGTTCAAGGTGCAAGTTGAAAGCAAAACCATACACGTCAACTTTTTCATCAAATAGGACAGTGCATGGTGATACTGTTGCACTCTGCAAACCCAAATTAGTTTCTTACGCATCGACTTCTTCCTCAGATTGGAAAATGCAGCGTGAAACTCGAACACGTTCCAAGTACAAAGTGGAACCTTACACACTTACTTGTTCATCACTGCGGACAGTACAAAATGGTAGCAGTGTACCATTTGGATTTAAAGAGCCATCATACACGGAATTATGGCACCAGCCAGTAGAAAATGACAATTTTATGTTTACTCAATATCACAAAGAAAACTCAAGTGTGTGCCCACCTAATGAATCAGTGTCATACACAGTAGGAAGTCAGTTATCATCTTTGAGGTCAAATCAGTCTGAACCTGAAAGACAAATAGAAAATACAGAATTTGCTCATGACCACTGTTATGCCAACTATAATACAAAAGAAATAAATGAGGAGGACATGATAAGCTCCGATAGATTGTTCAACCAAATGATGGTTTATCCAGATCAGCCAGCAACAGTTCAAAGAAGGACTCCGCATGCTTGCTCTCTGTGCGGAAAACGGTTTACTTACAAATCCATACTTCTAAGGCATCAGAGGACTCACACTGGGGAGAAATCATTTATGTGCAATGAATGTGGCAAACTATTTGCCTGCAAATTTAACCTTGTTGTCCATCAGAGGAAACACACGGGGGAGAAACCATACCAGTGCAAGGTCTGTGGCCGAAACTTTGCCCATAAATCTGCTTTTAATCAACATATGAAACGTCATGTGAAAGAAAGCTCTAAATTTCATGGGATGTGGAATATTTCCTAACTTATAATCTCCTGGAAACCCAAACGGTATAAAAGCAGATTCATTGTTCAGGTTCCAATTTAGGGATCTAATTAAAAGTGCTGCTGTTAATACAAAGTGTTTGGTTGTATGAAATCCAGCAAAATCACACAAATTATATATCAAGGCAGGGTTTGACAAACTCCAGCTGTTGGGTCAGTGCGTCCTACCGCTTAAGATTTCATCTGCCCCAACTGTCTGGATTTTACAATGTCACCCACCTCCATTATTTTAACCCACAACAGCTGTTTGTGAATGCTTGTAGGGGTACTTGATGGAAATTAAAAAACAACATGTAGACATGAAGTCCGTGATGCCACGCAATGAAACACAATAATTTGCTGCATGTCTGAGCCTTGCGTGCTTGTTTTATAGTAGGTTATACAGTATTCACTGAATACAATATTTAATAAATTGTATTTATTTTATCTAAGATTTAGGTTAAAGGTTTTTTTTTTCCCCGTGCAGATTTTATTAAAAGTTTAACGTATAAAAGGTGTGTAATACCAGTAGGAAACAATAGCAGTACACAGTACAACACAGTATAACAGCAGCATATCATTTTCTCATTGCAATAATATTGAATTAATAGCGATGTAAAGGACAGAAAAAGACCTTACCTAGGGAGCAAGGAAAGAGTGTAGAGCGGTCAAGTCCCACATTCTGTTTTTGAGAAGAGTGTCAGAATGAGAGAGAATGCTAAAAACAGGTTTGAAGAAGCCATGTTTCCTTATTAAAATCTAATGCATTATATAGTGTAATTTCTAATTCTTTATAGCTTACGTGTTTTCATATAACCGAACAAATGACCTTTTAACGTGCTTAATTTTAAACTTGTCATTTAAATATGAAGGTACTGGAAGTCTCGAGCTGCTTCCTTGCAATAAATAGAGCAGAACCACACAAAATGTTTATCTAACAAACAATTTTAAAAAGTTATTAAATGGCATCTAAAATGACCCAGATCAGAGTAAAGGATCCTGACAGCTGTGAATGTGTATTTTTGTACCATATTCTCATTTGTTTTTTTTTACTGTTTGCATTCTTCCATCAGTGTTTGAAAATTTTGCATTATCCCACTGATGTTGCTAAAACAGTTGGCCCAAACATTTAAGCAATACTTTATTTATTATAGTGTATCCACATAACAGTACTGGCATTCATAACCAACCATTTGCTATCTTACACCAAAGCCTATTTGAACACCTCTGTTTGCTGGTATTGTGGTGTATACAGTGGTGTATCCTGTTTTTGCTGCCCAAGGCAAGACTAAATTCAGGCACCCCCCTAATCTAAATTTGCACCACCACTTTGTGTCAAGGCCATTTTTATGGCTGACACACGCCCTCATTAACACATGCACTGACCTACACAGTCATTGGTGCACACACACACTGTTTAATTAAACAACCCTGACATACACACACACTCAGATACACATACACTCACTGAAAGACACACATTGCCACAAACATCCTCACTGATTGGACACACCCTGACATACACACACATTCACTCACTCACAGACACACACTAACAGCTACACACACACTCACTGACAGACAAACACACTCACTCACAGACATACACACTGCAGCTCTGTTATTGCGAAAGTAATCTTCTGCATTAATCTCTCCTCTAAACATTGCCACCAAAATTTGAATGAGCTACAGCAGAAGGTCCAGGCTTCAGAAGAATTCTGTTTGTTTTTTGTCCTACTACATAAATATGGTTTGACTTAAACTGTGAGAGTCTCTCCCAAGGATTCTGTATTGTAGTGATTATTGTGTCAAGGACTATATAAAGGTTGACTATGCAACATGCAGGGCTAGTTTAACATAGGGGCTGATGGAGCTACAGCTCCAGGCCCATGCAAGTCCCATCGATTAAAAACCACATAGCCGGTATTTATTTGAGGCTGCCTGGTTGGTGCCGATATTGCAGTAATACCGGCAATACAAATGACGGTATTTTTCTCAGCATAAACAGAGATTACTCTGCAATACCAGCACCGGCCAGTAGGGATCACTGTGTGTGTGGAGAGAGGCAGGGATAGGAAGTTACAGTATATACCTGCATCTCTCTACTCACTGATCCGCGGGGAGCAGTTACACTGCACAGAGAGTCCAGACAGCAGTTCCCAGCCTGCAGAGACAGCCTATAGCTCAGGGAAGTGAGGGGTGGGGTAAAGGCTGCAGGGAAACATGGGGGCACTGTGAGACATGGGGATACAGGGAGACCTCTGGGTACGCTGAGATACTTAGGGACACAGACACACATGGGGACATTGAGACCTGGGAACACAGACACTAGGGGATGCTGGGAGACATGGGAACACAGACACATTTGGGGACAGTAGGAGACATAGTAGAAAATAATCCAGGCACTCCAAAAAGTCTTCCAGAATTAGGCAATTTTTATTGGACCCAAGCACCAAAAAACAACGTTTCGACCCTAAGGTCTTTGTCAAGCAACTAAACACATACACAGCAAGCAATATATAGGGGTATACATAATTAACAAATACCAAAAACATGTGACATAATAAGATTAGGACACAACAAGATTGATTAACTTAATTACTTCATTAACCATATAGTCCCCTAGTGATCATTATCCATCCGCCATCATACCTTATCCAATTGTTTATCCAACACATCAGGACTGTCAACTCTCACAGGGCAATATAAACCGTTAATGAGAAAATTAAAGGAATCAAAAAAGCTAATTCCAATCGAAAACAGCTTAAATTGATACATACACTGATTTTAGGATGCCGGTACGAATTAATTCCTTGTATTTACGGGTCGGTCACATGGTATCCATCATGTGATCCAATCTAATGTATTGGGGCACATTACATGGTGGGTCACATGATAATGTCCAAATGGACTATACCTAATGCCCCCGCGCAACCCTGCGCATGCGCCGTGTTATTACACGATATAGAATTTTGAATAATATAATATATAGAGTATATAATTTTACAAAAGGTAACTTCAAATTTAAATCTCTTTAAAGTTACCTTTTGTAAAATTATATACTTAAAATTATACACTCAATATCATATTATATATTCAACATTCTATATATTTCAAATGAACCCACATTGAATGTCTTCTTTGTCAATATAAATTTAAGATATTTTTCCTCTAGTTGCTTGTAATTTATCTCGAGCTACATTTATATTCGAATGAGATCTTTGTTTATCCATCAAAATAGGACTCTTTAAGTACATTCTTAAAGTACATTCAACTTATAATTACACTGATAGTAATAATTATGGTATAAGATTATGCTCAACACATTTTTGCACTAAATGTCTATCACTTATGAAATTTAGATTGATCTTTATTGTAATACTTATAGATACTGAACACATGCCTGTCTCTTTATAAATATTTGTACAAATATGCACTTTATGATTTTCACTATTTTTCGAGTTATGAGATTCACAACAATTGATATATTACTGCTGTTCAATTGTGTATACACTTTTTGATGAATAAAGTATAAAGGAGAAGACTGAATGATTGAATTATGTGAAAAACAATGATAAAATATTGATGTTTGCAATAGGAATATATTGTAAATTTAATATAGGTTAGACACCAATGATAACATTGTTTAGATCCACCTTCCAGTTGTCCAACACCTAGGCTGTCATTTTTGCTTACAGGATGTGTATATAACTATAATCAAATGTTGTATTATTGTATTGTATTGTATTATTTAGCAATGTGCAGGGTCAATGTATATGAGGCATAACTATTATTATTCAGGTGATGGTAGTATCACTTTAAGTGTCTTGTAACTTAGGACGAGACAATTTGCAACACTATTACAGATTGGTGGTTGATTGAATAGTAAAGAGTTGTATTACGCATGCGCTTTGTGACGCATGTGTCCCAGGTGGGGCCCAGACTTAAATGATGATTTGAAAGTATGATCGTGTAAGAAAAACACGGCGTGTGTGCATTAGGTATAGTCCATTTGGACATTATCATGTGACCCACCATGTAATGTGCCCCAATACGTTAGATAGGATCACATGATGGATACCATGTGACCAACCCGGAAATACAAGGAATTAATTCATACCGGCATCCTAAAATCAGTGTATGTATAAATTTAAGCTATTTTCGATTGGAATTTGCTTTATTGATTCCTTTAATTTTCTCATTAACGGTTTATATTGCCCTGTGAGAGTTGACAGTCCTGATGTGTTGGACAAAGAATTAGATAAGGTATGATGGAGGATGGATAATGACCACTAGGGGACTATATGGTTAATGAAGTAATTAAGTTAATCAATCTTGTTGTATCCTAATCTTATGTCACATGTTTTTGGTATTTGTTAATTATGTATACCCCTATATATTGCTTGCTGTGTATGTGTTTAGTAGCTTGACAAAGACCTTAGGGTCGAAATGTTTGTTGGTGCTTGGGTCCAATAAAAATTGCCTAATTCTGGAAGACTTTTTGGAGTGCCTGGATTATTTTCTACATTTGGTCCTTTTTGGTACTGGGACCGATCCGTTTAGCACCCAAGGATTCCTGGGAGGGTTTGAATGCAGTTCCATTACCTATTATGGATACTAGGAGGCATAGTTACACAAGTGTCTGTGTGCCCATGTCTCCCAGTGACACGGGGACACAGACGCTAGGGGACACTGGGAGACATGGGGCACTGAGACACTGTGATACATAGTCTCAGTGTCTTCAAGTCTCCTAGTGTCTGTGTCCCCTAGTGACATGGAGACACAGACACTGGGCGCAATTCATCTATACAGCAGAATAAAACTGTAAGTAGTTTTTGGTGATTTTACAGAATTTTATTTTTAAAATGGTGAATTTAATTTTTATTTAACTTGTCATTTACAACATTTGATGTGACGCATACATAATTAGTTCTGCAAATTAGTAAGGTCTGTATTTTTTTTTCCAAAAAAGTTGGCAACCCTAACTACTCTTCCTTATATATGGAAACTGAAGAGGGATATATGGAAACAAAATTTGTGTGGACTAGCTGAAATGAAATTAGTTAAGGTAATGCTGACTTTGGTCTCTCTAACACTGTGGCATGTTCCCTTTCTTCTACACTCACTACATACAGCTTTTCTCTGTCTCAGACTGTATACCAGGAGCTTCTGCCTGCTAGTAAGAAGGCAAGGAGACAAGTGGACATGTGAGTGTTAGGGGACAGTCCTTAGAAAGCATGGAGCGAGCGCATCATTAGACGCATTTATGCCAAGCTCAGGATGCTGTTGGCCAGCATGCATGATTTGCAGGCAGCCTGACATGCATTCACACCAGGCTAGCCTTCCAATTCTTTGGGCAGACACGCCTCCTTTTTGGGCATGTTTGTCCCTTTCTGAAGTTCTGGTTACATGATCCGCGTCAGTGGCACACCCTTTTACACCGCCCATTGACTTCCTGCTTCACTGGACACTGCTGTTAGGGTGTATGGATTTACTTGAAAGATGAAAGCATGAATTAGAGAGAGATTAGCACATTTTAAGAGAATCTGAGTTTTCTTATAGCTGCATCCTAAGAGTTTCCCTCAGGCAAAATCTCCACTGGACACATAACGCTTGAGAGGTATGACTGTTTTAGTGTTTTTGGTCGATAAGATTCTGCACTTAGGCCCCTCATAATTGTCAGCTGGGCTCTTAATCTGGCCCTGGAAACAAGACATACAGTAATTACATTTGAAAAGGAAAATTATTCTTCATATGGCTTCAAAACATTCCACAGCAACAAATACCACAACCTAAAGGAGTACTCAAAGTAACTTAATCAGCAGAGTTTTGTAGTATTTATGGTGCTAGCAGCGTTTGGGTGCTGTTCTCCTGGTTTCTGGGTTTGACAAAAAGATTCTCTCTCCCTGGTAACCAAAGCCCAACCCCTCTGCAGTCACTGGATAATACACAACTTTGATATGTTAGCCCATGTTAACTGACCTTTATCTGGGTTAAAAAGCTGCGGTTTCCTGTCCATATTAATTTCCAGAATTCTCAGTCGGATTTCAGTCAGACGAACCAACCATATTCTACCCTTTGCACAGGTATCGCAGGATTAGAATGCCTCTCTCCTAGAGCAAGGCAGCAGACCATTTATCCCTCTCTTGTGATCCAGAACTTCTGAGTGTCTTAGATAACACCAGATCGGAGGGAGAGGTACAAGGGTTGCAGACAACAAGCTCCATAGAATCCACCCACTGAGCAACACAGGATCAGTGTGGATTCCTGCCCAAGATATTCTGTTGTACCACAACACGAGTTATTACTAAACACAGCAAACACAAATCCCTGACGGTGACTTAAATTGTATTCTAATAAGGGCCAATGAAGTGGTCTGGGTGCACTGGTCCTGTCCTATCAACCCTGCAATGTAAAACACTGGGGCATTGGCTTGGACCATGGCTGAAGAAAACCATGCTTCCTTCCTGACGTTGCGGGTGGCAGAGATGTGAGCAGCACTGAGGGAGCCTCAATGTTGGAAAAAGGTAAGACTTTATTAATATTTTTTGCAAATGGGGGGGGTGAACTACTAAAGATATGGACAAACACTGAATTCCTACCACTATAGTGTTCCTGTAAACACTCAATATATGTAGTAGTTTTGTTCAATTAGTAAAGAAACAACAGACAAACACAGCATAAACAGCAACCATTTAATTCAGGCAGATTATCCATTGAGTGTAATTTGATTTCACAGAAAGTTTAGAAATGCCAATTCCAAACATCCTCTGATGAATTTCCAGTCTGTATACTAGAGCACCCCCAAAGCTCTCTATATGCAATGCACGAATGCTACCATAATTATTTTCATCGCCATTTATATAGCGCCAACAGATTCCGTAGCGCTTTACAATATTATGAGAGGTAGGAGTTAACTATAAATAGGACAATTACAAGAAAACTTACTGGAACGATAGGTTGAAGAGGACCCTGCTCAAACGTGTTTACAGTCTACAGGAGGTGGGGTGTAAAACACAATAGGACAGGAACTCTGATGATGTATGCTGTTAGTTGTGGCTAATCTGGGAGATGCAGATGTTTATGAGCTATTTTTCAGAGACTACTCTGCTTTCTAACTGCCAAGATTAGCCTTTCCTACCCCATATACAGCAGACACAGCCAGTGTAAACAAACAAATGGGCACTAGCTACCAGTAAAAGCAGCACCCCGTGGCACGAAAGCACCCTGAGTTTCTTCTGACCCTACCTCTAATGCTATTCAGGAAGGTATATAGTCAGCATAAAATACTGCAGAAAAGACAAACACTGTTTAAATCTGTTTCACAGAGCCCTTGGACTAATAATTAAACTTCTTCCAGATTCAGGAGCCATCCCTCTCGTGACGTTTCTGATGCTGATTATAAGCGGATTTATGGGCAAAGTGTTTTCCACAAACCTTGCATCCATACGGTTTCTCTCCAGTGTGTTTTCGTTGATGAACAACCATGTTAAAGTTTGAAACAAACTTTTTGCCACATACATTGCATGTAAAGGACTTCTCGCCAGTGTGAGTCCTCTGATGGCGAACAAGACTGGATTGGTATGTGAAGTGTTTGCCGCACACACTGCACCTCGGGACCTTCTCCCCAGTGTGAGTTCTCTGGTGTCTCTGGAGACTGGATTTATAGCTAAATATCTTGCCGCATTCATTACATTTAGGTGCCTTCTCTCCGGTGTGTATGCGCTGATGGACAATAAGGTGATATTTGTATGGAAAACTCTTCCCACATACTTCACATACATGAAAAGACCTTTTACTAGAGGCTGCTTGCTGATCTGTATGGGAAGAGTCTTGGTTGAACCATTCTTCAATGGTTGTATTGTCTTCAATCTTAACTTTCTTGATGTCGTAATCCAAATCCTGGCAGTCACCGAGAAATGTGTCGTCTGAAAGACAAGTCTGATTAGAACTTGAAATTGATGTAGAGGGTGGATGGTTAGAAGACTGTCCTCCATAATCCCTTTCAAGTTTACTTGTACAATTTTTCACATTATTCTCTGACAAACGCGCAGTTCTATTGGGTTTTCCTTCAAACCCATGGAATCGGTCATTACCATACTCCGTTGTCTTCTCCCATGAACAAGCTCCCAAGTATTGCCCTTGCTTACATCTTCTAAACGTGCAAGTACTTTCTTCCTCTAGGTGACTCAAAGAAAGGGCTTCTGTGTGGGAACTCCTTTGGATCTTATGAAATGCAGTGTTATCATGTTCCACTGTCTGACCTGAGGGACTTGTGGCTAAGTCATGTTCTCCCTGAAACTCATGACATTTACTTGTATCCTCTATGGTGATTCCATCTGAAGAACATGACATGTGAGATTCTCTTTTAAACTCAGAAAACATAGTAGAGCCATGTTCTACTGAGCATTGTGGTGAACAGGTCTTTTTGTCTCCAGTATCACCTTCCACTAGCTTATCCGGTAAACAGGCCAGTGTCTCAGATCCACGTTTGGCCGCATCATTTTCAACTTTGACCGGGGAATCATCTGATGAAATGGGAAAAAAAAATTATGAATTAATACATCAGCCAAAAGATATACACGTGAACATGCATACAATCCACTATCTGGAAAGGAGGCTAATGAGGAGCAAGATTTTTGCCAATTTGGTTTATTTTAGTAACACTTTTCCCTCAAACAACTATAAACGTGTGTATTAGAGGAAAAAAGACATCTGAAATTCTGGAGACATCTATAAGCCAATCGATCTCCAGATAATTTCCTCACCTGAGCTGGAATAACAAAATCACTTCCTCACCTGAGCTGGAATAACAAAATCACTTCCTTACCTGGGCTGGAATAACAAAATCACTTCCTTACCTGAGCTGGAATAACAAAATCACTTCCTCACCTGGGCTGGAATAACAAAATCACTTCCTTACCTGGGCTGGAATAACAAAATCACTTCCTTACCTGAGCTGGAATAACAAAATCACTTCCTTACCTGAGCTGGAATAACAAAATCACCTTAACAAAATCACTTCCTCACCTGGGCTGGAATAACAAAATCACTTCCTCACCTGGGCTGGAATAACAAAATCACTTCCTCACCTGGGCTGGAATAACAAAATCACTTCCTCACCTGGGCTGGAATAACAAAATCACTTCCTCACCTGGGCTGGAATAACAAAATCACTTCCTCACCTGGGCTGGAATAACAAAATCACTTCCTCACCTGGGCTGGAATAACAAAATCACTTCCTCACCTGGGCTGGAATAACAAAATCACTTCCTCACCTGAGCTGGAATAACAAAATCACTTCCTCACCTGGGCTGGAATAACAAAATCACTTCCTCACCTGGGCTGGAATAACAAAATCACTTCCTCACCTGGGCTGGAATAACAAAATCACTTCCTCACCTGAGCTGGAATGGAAAATAACAAAATCTTCCTCACCTGGGCTGGAATAACAAAATCACTTCCTCACCTGGAATAACAAAATCTGGAATAACAAAATCACTTCCTCACCTGAGCTGGAATAACAAAACCTCTGGACTTCCTCACCTGGGCTGGAATAACAAAATCACTTCCTCACCTGGGCTGGAATAACAAAATCACTTCCTCACCTGAGCTGGAATAACAAAATCACTTCCTCACCTGGGCTGGAATAACAAAATCACTTCCTCACCTGGGCTGGAATAACAAAATCACTTCCTCACCTGGGCTGGAATAACAAAATCACTTCCTCACCTGGGCTGGAATAACAAAATCACTTCCTCACCTGAGCTGGAATAACAAAATCACTTCCTCACCTGGGCTGGAATAACAAAATCACTTCCTCACCTGGGCTGGAATAACAAAATCACTTCCTCACCTGGGCTGGAATAACAAAATCACTTCCTCACCTGGGCTGGAATAACAAAATCACTTCCTCACCTGGGCTGGAATAACAAAATCACTTCCTCACCTGGGCTGGAATAACAAAATCACTTCCTCACCTGGGCTGGAATAACAAAATCACTTCCTCACCTGGGCTGGAATAACAAAATCACTTCCTCACCTGGGCTGGAATAACAAAATCACTTCCTCACCTGGGCTGGAATAACAAAATGACTTCCTCACCTGAGCTGGAATAACAAAATCACTTCCTCACCTGGGCTGGAATAACAAAATCACTTCCTCACCTGGGCTGGAATAACAAAATCACTTCCTCACCTGGGCTGGAATAACAAAATCACTTCCTCACCTGAGCTGGAATAACAAAATCACTTCCTCACCTGGGCTGGAATAACAAAATCACTTCCTCACCTGAGCTGGAATAACAAAATCACTTCCTCACCTGGGCTGGAATAACAAAATCACTTCCTCACCTGAGCTGGAATAACAAAATCACTTCCTTACCTGGGCTGGAATAACAAAATCACTTCCTCACCTGAGCTGGAATTCTCAAATATCTTCTGCACCTCTGTATCCTTTACATGTGTCTCTTTCATATACTCTCTTGCCAAATCCTTCTCACCTGTGGGGACCATTTCATATGTATTAAACTTGTTTTAGTGGCAGCACCTTACATTTTAGGGTATAGCATACTTCACCCATTCTGGACAATGCACCAGGATTGTCATGATATTACGTGAAATAATTAATCTAGAGCCATGAAAAGATTACATACATCAAATATGTGCAAAACAGTTTTTTTCCTTTTTCAGGAATGATCTCAGTTTTTATTATGACCATTAACTCTAGGTAAACCAGCTTTTAGTTTACTCACTTGTGCACCTTGATGTCCGTTCAAGACATGCATCCTTTTCATTAATCCCATCTTCCTCCTGGAGGTTGAGCTTACATGAGATTGAGATGGGAAGACCTGTAATTTACAATAAAACAATTTAATGGGACACTCTAAGCACAAAAAACTAATTTAGCTTAATTAAGTGTTTTTGGTATATAGATCGTGCCACTTCAGTCTCACTGCTCAATTATCTGCCATTTAGGAGTTGAATTGCTTTCTTAATGCAGTCATAGTCACACCTCCCTGCTTGTGATTTAAAAATACTCCCTACACACTTCCTGAAAAGAGAAATCTAATTTTTTAAACATCCTTTATTGCACAGTCTGATACACAATAGTTTTGCCTCACAAGGAAGCAATGCATTCCTGTTCTAGAAAATCTTTAGCAAAACTCGATTTTACAAACAATTACTAAGATAAAAAATGTAAAGGAACCTGTGAGAATATTAATGTCAGGTCCAGAAGTGCCGATGTAAAGGTGATTATCCATCATTACATCTTGAGATAGGTCTTTGTGTCGTTTTATATACTCCCATTCCTCCACAGAGAAGAAAACTGCAATATCTTTATATTTTAAAGGAATCTGGAAGAAACAAAATGCCCAGTTATATTAAGAACAAGTGCTACCTTATAGGTAAGCCCTAGTGTGGTCTGCATTTTATCTGTGCTCTAATTTAGCATAATTCTGTATTGTATATCACCAGTGAACACGGGACCGTTTCAGACATAATGATGGCACATGTGAATATTGTAAAATACTAGCCAGCACGTGAGGTAGTTTGAAGCCTATGAAAAGCAGCTAATGAGATAAAGCGTGCGATTTAACAAAATTATAGAAGTCTAGAAGCACTTACCTCGCTAGTCAGCAAGTCAATGCACTTACATTGGAATTTCTTATTCACAATGATATATTCCTACAAAATATAAAAAAAAAGAAGACAATATCAGACCTCAGTGTAAGATATATGCCTTAACGTTTTACAGACTAAAAGGGATCAGGCATACAAAGCTAATTAAAGACACCCTATTATATCAAGATATAAACTTCTCTGTGAATGGGATTAAGTCGTCTCCTAAATTGGGACAATTGCCCTGGATAAGGAATAGTTATTCTGGGAGTACAACAGTAATGCCTGTGAATTAAATAGAAAATTCAGGATCCATGAATTGTGTCTGGAGTGAAGAGACAGATAATGTGATAACACAGCCAAACTTACATCTCCAGTCATTAACTGGATAATCTCCAAAGCATTTCTTAGAACCCTCACACCCATCGGCTTTGTACTCTTGTTCATTGTTAGTTAGAAGACAGAGACCTATGAAAAGAGGAATGACGTCAAATGGAACAAATATAAGAAATACTTTTTCACATTTGCTTATCACCAGATGGACATAATACCAACATGAAATTTTCTCTCTCAAAATATCCTTTCTGCTGAATCAGAGACTTTTTCTAACAGTGGCAAATCAAGCCTAAAATATTGCAACATTAAAGGACAGTATGAAACATTGTTAAAGCGTCAATCTAAGCCCCATAACTACTACAATGGCCTGTAGTGGGTATGGTGCCATGAGTCCACAGGATCCATCTCACTGTTAAAGGGGCACTCCAGGCATCATGACAGCTTAATTGCAATAAAGTTTTTATGACGTATGGAGGTCCTGGGCTCTTACCATCAGAGGTTTGTTTAACACCAAATCTTCGCTCTGGCCTGCAACTTTCTCTGATGGTCCGAGGCTTCAATCAGGGGGGCTGCGGATAGGCTTACACCACCAACTGATAGGCTCAACCTCTCATTTTCTCTTCATTCACAAAACTGAAGTAAGAATTTCAGCTTTAGCTATATTTATGAAGAGGGGATTCACGGCAGTCGCCTAGTTAGTGTCAAATAAAAACTGCTCGAATTTTAACAATGGGACGGTGTCTGGGGAATCCTGTAACCAAAACCATTACAAAGAGCTGGGAGTGCCCCTGTAAATGCTTATAAAGGGAAACTTGACCAGATTCTATAAACACTGCTATACTTTATTTTTTTTTAAAAAGGTCCATAACAGTGTGTTACCAATAGATCATACAGTGTGTGCTTCACTGGGATTCCTGAAGAAGATCAGACACTGTTGTAATTAATAGGTTGTTTAGATGTGTTAGATACACCCTTACTGAGCCATTCTTATCATAACAAATAAAAGACAATTTTAAGGTAAAATACTTCATTTGGGGCAATCACCATAGCAACCAAAGGCATTTCCTACTGTTTGCTCCAAATGTTGCACTTTAACCCCATTATAGATCCAAGTCTGCACAAACATGACAGTTTAATTCTGTGTTTATTTATAATACATTTTTTTTTTTTTTAAATGCTTGCTAATTAAAAGATTTATTTCAGAAGCCTAGCCATGCATGCACATGGAACATTACACAGCAATTACCTTACCAGGTAGCAGCTCTGCAGACACAGCTTCCTGTATAGGGCACTATAAAGCACGTGTGACAGGGTGAGGCCGTCTGATTGGCTGCTCAGCGCTTCGTCTTATTTGCATTCTGGGCGTTGTAGTTCGCTTTCCCCAGCAAGCTGCTGCAGTGATGGAGGACAAGCACTACAACTCCCAGAATTCTGTAGCGTGAAGTCAGCGTCACGTGATATCAGAGAGAGCAAGAAAGACTAACTGCTGGCTGGTAAACACTGCCATTAACCCCTGCGTGCCGCACGTGCAGGTGGCACTGTGGAAGCCACACAGGTGAACTACAAATCACAGAATCCTTTGCGGGAGACAACTGGACGCAGCCAATCAACTTACAAGATTGTGGACCACGCCCCCTCAACCTCTCCCTAGGAATGGCTGCAGTAGGTTGAAATTTTCACTGTCATTATTCTCATTATATTATTATTATCATTGTTCTTATTATATTATTATTATTATTGTCATTATTCTCATTATATTATTATTGTCATATTATAATTCTCATTATATTATTATTGTCATTATTCTTATTATATTATTATTGTCATATTATAATTCTCATTATATTATTATTGTCATATTATAATTCTCATTATATTATTATTGTCATTATTCTTATTATATTATTATTGTCATATTATAATTCTCATTATATTATTATTGTCATTATTCTTATTATATTATTATTATTATTGTCATATTATAATTCTCATTATATTATTATTATCATTGTTCTTATTATATTATTATTGTCATATTATAATTCTCATTATATTATTATTGTCATTATTCTTATTATATTATTATTGTCATATAATTCTTATTATATTATTATTATTCTCATTACATTATTATTGTCATTATTCTTATTATATTATTATTGCCATATTATAATTCTCATTATATTATTATTATCATTGTTCTTATTATATTATTATTGTCATATTATAATTCTCATTATATTATTATTGTCATTATTCTTATTATATTATTATTGTCATATAATTCTTATTATATTATTATTATTCTCATTACATTATTATTGTCATTCTTCTTCTTATATTATTATTATTCTCATTACATTATTAATGTCATAATTCGCCTTATTTTATTAATGTCATTATACTGTTATTATTTTCATATTATTGTTCTAATTATATTATTATTGTCAGTATTATTATTATTATTATTGCCCCATGTGGTCCCCGGGTACACAGCTTTGCATCCCCAGGCTGTACACAGGGTTGTCCTATTGAGTTGTGACTATAATGGGGTTATGAGGAATAAAGCTGCTAACACAGAGCAAAGTGTGACACAATGACAGAGCCATGAATTAGCTCACATTGACTATACCAGAATAATCCTGAGGACAGTTTGGAGAATACTTCTTCAAGGCATCATTTTATTCCCCAGTTATTCTAAAACTAATATTAATATTGAATAAGAATTCTTAATAGGAAGGCAAAAAGCGCTACATGGAGATACCGTGACATACAGTACGATGACCATTCCTCTCATTCTGATATTGTGGTTCTGAACACCATGAAGAGCTATTTGTACAGTCAGAGCATCCATTTTTAATTTTGATGTTTGAAAATATTGTTTAAGGGTTTAAATTATTTTGTATCCACTTTTACATTTTAATCAACAGTGTGTAACAGTGTTGGCTAACCGCAAATGAATGCGCATCAAGGGATATGTATTCTGCAAACGTCAAGGGTATAGCACTGAAGAATCGATTGTCGCTTTATACATGAACTGTTTTGTGATCATCTTAAATATCACATATTTTTTCTGTGTTTCTTTTTCGAACATGGTAATAGTTTGAATTATTTCCCAAGGGTCAGAGATGTATGAGTGGAGAGAGAAATCCGATGCTTTAGTTAAAATTAGATATCTTAAAATGTATCTTCCAGGGCACAGTTCTGTGAAACTGAAGACTGAGGTTAAGATGGAGACAGAGGACGAGACATATGTAAGGTGTGACCAGCACTTTGACAAGAGTCCTGCAAACCTAAATGACAGTAAGTTACATAGGCAGAAGGAAGACTTGCGTACAAAAAGTTCATTTTTTTTTCATTGTGAATAAAACCCTCTTATGTAGTTAAGAAAAGGTTTGGTCACCTTACACATACGCAATAGAATTATGTTGAACAACAGAGTGTTGAGCTCATAGCCAGACGTAGAAATTCTGAGCTTCAGTAAAATTTTCCGTAGGACTTTGCATCAGATAGGTCAGCAACAGTGTATCCAAATATTAAAATAAGTAACTGATTAAAATGTAGGCTGTTTACTTGGAAACCATAATAATCTGAATCTAGCTTTCCTGGTTAGACATGTTGTTATTATTATTAATTCACAAATGCCTCTGTGAACCACTCAAAAACCAATATGGATGCTCCCTGGATCCATCTTTTTGTAACATATAACATAATAACATAACATATAACAAGTATGTCAAACTCGCGGCCCGCGGGCCGAATGCGACCCACAAGGACCATCTTTGCTGCCCGGCGAGCCGCGAGTACATGCCTAATGTTCCAAGCAGAGTAGGCACCTGCTTTCCCCACATTGCAGGTGCCTACTCTGCTAACATTGACCCGGCCGGGGAGGAGAGGTCTCTGGCGGCAGCTCAGGAGCTCAGTGTTCTGCTCCTCCCTCGCGCATGCCGACTGAAGTGAAGCCGGGCGCCGGAATATGTCGTCATATGCCAGCACCTGGCATCACTAAACCGTGCTGGAGCAGTGAGGAGCAGGAAAGACCCCAGGGAGATGCCCCCCATCGGCTCCATAACGTAAGGAGCAATAATGAAAAGTATGTGTGTGTGTGAGTGTGTGTCTGTCAGCAAGTATGTGTGTGTGTCTGTCAGTGAGTGTGTGTGTCAGTGTCTGTATGTGTGTCTGTGAGTGTGTGTGTCTGTCAGTGAGTATGTGTGTGTCTGTCAGTGTGTGTGTGTGTCTCTCAGTGTGTCTGTTAGTTTGTCTGTCGGAGTATGTGTGTGTGTGTCTGTCAGTGAGTATGTGTGTGTCAGTGTGTCTGTATGTGTGTGTCTGTCTGTGAGTATGTGTGTGTGTCTGTCCGTTAGTGAGTGGGTGTGAGTGCGGCCCACATAAACCTAAACCTTGTTTATGTGGCCCGTGCCACACTTTGAGTTTGACATGCTTGACATATAACATGTGCCAAACAGGTGCATAGTGACAGAAAAATCCACATTCCATCAAGGTAATAATGATTTCCTAACGGGCTTTGGAAGGGTTAGAAGTGTGCTTTGAATGTGAGATGGAAACTTTAATCAGTTCTCCACTGCAGGATATGCAACAGCGAAGTCTGAGATTACGATTAAGATCAAAGAGGAAGAGGAGTCCTGCGATGATGACGCTGGGGAGAATGGAAGTCACCAACAGTCCTACTCAGGTAAATTCCTCATAGCACAGTTATATGTGATGTTCCTATATGATTACAGTATTGCCTTGAACTAAGCCCCCTACACCCCCACTTACACTCTTTAACCTGCAGTAAAGCAATCTACAGAGTGAGGTTCAACATAACAGAATGGAATTTAGATAACTGGGTGCATTGCTTGGGGGAGTTCTAGGTCAGTGAATAAAAGATCTTTAATATGATAAATAAAACACACATTGGTTCAAAACTGCACTCATATATACCTCACTGTACGTTCAGATTAAACATATAATGCATTAAATCATCATTTCAGTAAATTTTAAACTGTTGCAAAAATAAGAGAAAATATCTCTAAAAGTGTTTATGATTAGTGATGTCCTGAACGGTTCGCCGCGGACTCATCATTGAGTAAACTTTGACCCTGTACCTCACAGTCAGCAGACACATTCCAGCCAATTAGCAGCAGACCCTCCCTCCCAGACCCTTCCACCTTCTGGACAGCTCACTAAGAATGCAGCTTCAAAATGGATGCTGTCCAGGAGATGGGAAGAGCTGGGAGGGAGGGTCTGCTGCTGATTGGCTGGAATGTGTCTGCTGACTGTGAGGTACAGGGTCAAAGTTTACTCAATGACGAGTCTGCTGCGAACCGTTCGGCGAACCGTTCGGGACCTCACTATTTATGATCTCTTTTTAATGTTATGTCACAATAATCCCTGGATAACTGGTCTGCAGACAAATGGCCATTGGTAGAGTGGATTATGTTGTTTGTCAGTTTTAATGCCTCCTTCCTCTGAGGCAATCCTGTCCATAGAGTGAGATATAGATGGAGCATCTTAATATAGCTGTATGTTTGGCTGAAGTATGTTTTCAGACCTCCGAGGCCTCTACTGTTAAACCTGAAGAAGGAACGTCTGAATTCCAAAGAGCTATGTGAAAAAAAATTGGTCATTCAGACATATGTCCTCTATATCTATAACATAATTTTATTGTGAAAACAGAAAATGTCTGTGTGTATTGAAGGGTTTGTCGTGTAAAATCCCCAGCTTGTGTCTGCAGTGAGGGATTTGGATGTTTTTATTGATTGTTGTAAGGTGACATTTTAATAGACTAGAAATGGAAGTAATAAGATATTTAAACTCAGGTGTATTGTAAAGAAAACATTTTACAAAAATAACATGTACAATATGTTTTATTTACGCCTATGCTTAAAAAAACGGCACATCTGAGATTTTTTAATAACCTGATAGTTAAATAGAAGCTATTGGTTGTGCTTTTGAAAAACAAACAAACCCAAAAAACAGGTTATATTTTTTAAAATTTCTGTCATATGCCTTGCATAGCAAAAGCATTCCATGCCTTATGCCTTATATGTCACGGTTATCAGTGGAACCTAAACACGGAGACAGATCACAGACACACAGGATTGCAATACCGGTCCTTACAGTGACCGGGCTATGCAAAAGAGAGAGAGAGTAGTCAAATGTACAAGCCGAGATCAAGGACAACCGAGAGATGGAATACGAAAAGACAAGCCGAGGTCAAGGATCAAAGAAAACAAAGTAAACGTGAGACAAGCCAAAGTTCGGTAACCAGAAAATCAGACACAGTATAACGCGCTATTGGGCTATCAAAGACATCAACAGGGCAAAGAGGAAAGGAAAAGGTAAGCTTATATAGGTTTAGGACAACTCTGATTGGCTAACTTCCAATCAGAGTTAATTATTACACGTGGGAGGTACTTGTAGCTCCCATTTTGACTAATGACCTCATCACTACGCGCCGAGTCAGGTGACTGACTCGGGTGCCTATAATAGCTCCAGGAGGCCAGCGGGGAAAGCAGAGACAGCCGCGAGCGGCGCGCGGTTACCAAGAGTGAGGGGAAGCCGCTAATGGTGCGCGGGGAGTACAAACCGCCGCTTACGGTGAGGTAAGAATTTAAACTACTGCTCACGGTGAGGCAGGAGGCAAGGTCTCCATGAGCAGTGCACGGCCGACACGAGCCACAGCCTGCGGAGACCTGACATTATATAGCATGCTCTCTTACTTCTCCCTTAAACAGATAGTCCGGGAATACTTTAACATTTTAAAAGTGACATAAAATGGTGTATTAAACTATATTTTTTCCGTGTTCTAGAAGGATATGTCATAGATACAGATGAAAATGCGGAGAAGACAGACCAAAGTGAACATCCAACTTTAATGGACAATTCACATACAGGTGAGAGGCAGTGTTTTCCTGAAAGTAATCCAGGTAAAATCATCATATTGCAAACTTATTGGCAGTAACAATAATAGCATCTCTCATGTACTGTTTGCATTGCTATTATTTTACCGGTACTTTTTTTTTTTTTTAGATGGGTCAGCAATTACTGGAACATGTGACGAATCTTATTACTTGGCTATGGCACAAGATGCTATTGATTTGACAAATAACCACCACATAGCAGAAAGGCTGCATTATTGCTGTAGATGTGGCAAAGGTTTGCCCAGTCATGCTGACCTCATAGAACATCTAAAAACTCATATGGACGAGAGACCTTTTCCTTGTTCTGATTGTGGAAAACGCTTTTATAAAAGGTCAAATCTTGAACAACATCAGAAGATTCACACTGGCGACAAACCTTTCGTATGTTTGCAGTGTAAGAAGTGTTTTATCAGTAACGCACATCTCACTAGACATCAAGTTACACACAGTGAAAAGACTCTGTTTATCTGCTCCAGCTGTGGTAAGAGTTTTACGAGGAACTCAACGCTCATTCAGCATCAGAGAGTTCATGAAGTAAGGGCACCATTTCCTTGCTCAGTATGCTGCAAAGTTTTCACACAAAAGTCAGATCTCGTGAAACACACAAGAATACACACTGGTGAGAAACCATTTGCTTGTGGCAAGTGTGGAAAATGCTTTAACCTTAGGTCAAGTCTTGTGAAACATGAGCGGACACACACAGGCGAGAAGCCGTTTACATGTCCACAGTGTTGGAAACGGTTCAGTCAAAACTCACACCTTGCCAAACATCAAAAACTTCACAGAGGGGAGAAACCGTTTCCTTGCTTGCAGTGCGGGATACGATTTATGAGTAACTCAGAACTTGCGAGGCACATGGTGATTCACACAGGAAGTAAACCTTTTTCCTGCACTGAATGTGGGAAATGCTTTAGTTGGAAGTCCTCTCTTGTGGATCATCTGAGAATTCACACAGGAGAAAAACCATTTGCTTGTTCAGATTGTAGGGCATGTTTTAACAAGAGGTCAGCACTTGTAAAACATCAGAAAACACATTTTAGCTTTGTATGCACTTAACCCAAGGACTATACATTAAATTAGTCTTATAAATAATTTAGAATTGTATTATGCTACAGAGCAGAAGTAGCCAGCATGTGGCTATACAGCTGATGTAAAAATGCATCTTCCATTGTGCTTTGTCACCCCATAGCATGACGATGTCAAAGAATCATGCACTTGCAGATAAACAATACAATACTGTTTGTTTCCTTAAAGGACACTTTATACTTGCTGGAGGTGTGGGCGAGATGTAGGCATTATGCTTCATGTTTGGTGGTCCTGCTGCAGGCTCCAACCATTCTGGACCGGCACAGCAAACCACTTGCAAAAAAATATTACCAACACCATGGATAGATAACACAAAGATCATCCTTTACCATACCTTAATATCTGACAATTTATTAATCTCTAGACTTTGGAAAAAGACTAAATTGGTCATATGAACTTTTGACCATTCAACAGTTTGGTATCTACAAGACAACCCAAGAAGCAAGTAGCGAATGGGTAGCAAAAATGAAAGACATTCATAAATTTTTTTAAATTCAGGAAAAAAAAAAAAGCATTCTAAGTCAACCGTCCAGACAAAGGTCTCCGTCTCCACAAAGGTCCCACGTAGACAGAGACACGCCTATGGGCCACAAAACTACTCAGTTGACGAAACTCTTGCTGTAAAATTGATGACTGGTGCCCACATAACATAAAGTGATATGACATTGTGTCATGCTATGTTGGAATGTAAACTTGATATTAATGTTCCCCCCAATGCCTCCCTTCTTGCTTTCTGTATCCCCTCTTTTTTTTTCTTTGATGCTTGCAAAACTAATAAACTTCAAATTGGAAAAAAGGCACTTTGTAAAAGTGCCAGTTTCCATGAGAAATCCTTACTTTTATTATTAAAGGGACACCGTAGGCTCTGTATCTGCTTCATCTCATTAAACTGGTTATAGTGTCTGGAGTCCTCTGGTACCATCATTTCTTTCAGCATTAAACAGTTTTTAAACTTTTAATGTTTTAATGCTAAACAAGAGTCCCCGGCAATCCATCCCCTCTGTGCTGCTTTGGCTAATAAGGAAGTATTAGCCTGAGCAGCAATAGGCAACTGTGATTGGCTGAGAGTGTCAGGTGACTGCTTTTAGCCTGTCAGAGTTCCAACTGACAGTATGAATGGGTATGACAACAAGGAAGTGTGTAATCTCTGCCTTGGCTACACATACTGAAGGGGCCGGACTGTGGGTGGCCAGGGACTCTTATTTTGTGGCATACTGCTCGAACATGGTGCAACACTGAATGGAGGGACAGTGCCAAGGCACTCCAGGCACTATAACCAATTCAAAGAGATGAAATTCTTATAGTGACTACAGTGTCCCTTTAACTAACGGAACACCCAATGTCTATCAAAAGCCAGGGAGGTTTCTTTCCTAATTCCGTTTGCTGCCCTGAGCTAATGGAAATGTCATGTATGTGCCTGCCTCCTCTCACTTATCTGTTCTCATATCTCAGATCAGACTAGTGTTCTAAAAACAAGAAGCCTCTGATTGGTTAATTCCCTGAGAAGACAAATGCGTTAGTTGGAAGTCCTTGTGGAGCATCTGAGGATTCACACAGGAGAAAAACCATTCACTTGCCTAGATTTTAGGGCATGTTTTAACAAGAGGTCAGCTCTTGTAAAAAAAAATCAGAAAACACATTCTAGCTTTGTATGCACTTAACCCATGCACTCTAAATTAAATTGGTCTAATAAATGAATTAAGAATTGTATTAAACAACAGAGCAGAAGTAGCCAGTATGTAGATATACAGCTGTTGTGAAAATGCATCTTCCATCATGCTTTGTCACCCCATAGAATGATGATGCACTTGCTGATAAACAATACAATATTGTTTGTGTTCTGATGAAGGATCATTATCCTTCCCTTAAAGGACCACTTGCTAAAGTGATTTATTGGTGAGGAGTGTCATATTAAAAGAGTACTTTATAAAAGTTCAGATTTCTATGAGAAATCGTCCACTTTTATTATTAAGTAAAACAGCCAATGAGGTTTCTTTCCTAATTCCGTTTGCTCCCGTGAGCTAACTAAAGTGGCATGTACTCTCTACTTGTGCACACCTCCTCCCTTCAGTGGCGGATCCAGAGCCTGATCTCGGGAGGGGCACTTGTAGATTATTTAAAGAAATAATCCAGACACAATAACTACTACAGCTCAGTGTAGTGGTTATGGTGTCAATAGTGCCGGGACCCCCTCCTAGAGTAAGTAGTCAAACCGTTTAAGAACAGTTTGACAACTTACCTGAGGTCTGCTGGGAAATGGGGCGGTAGTAGGGCATAGGAGCAGTGGTGTGTGAGTGGTGCAATGTGTAAGGGGTGCAGTGTGTGTGTGTGTGAGGGGGACAGTGTGTGAGCAGTGTGTGTGTGTGTGTGTGAAGGTTGTAGTGTGTGAGTAGGGGGGGCAGTGTATGTCAGGGATGCAGTGTATGTGTGGGACAGTATGTGTGTGTAACAGTTGCAGTGTGTGTGTGAATGTGGGCAAAGTGTGTGTATGGGGCGGCAGTGTGTGTGTATGAGGGCAGTATGTGTGCATGAGGGCAGTATGTGTGCATGGGGGGCAGTATGTATGCATGGGGGGCAGTATGAGTGTATGGGGGAGGGGCAGTATGTGTGTATGTGGGGGCAGTATGTGTGTGTATGGGGGGCAGTATGTGTGTATGGGGGCAACATGGGGGCAGTATGTGTGTATGGGGGGGCAGTAGTATGTGTGTGTGTATGGGGGGGCAGCATGTGGGGGCAGTATGTGTGTATGGGAGGGCAGTGTATGTGTGTGTATGGGGGCAGTATGTGTATGGGGGCAGTATGTGTGTATGGGGGGGGCAGTATGTGTGTGTGTGTGTATGGGGGGCAGCATGTGTATAGGGGGCAGTATGTGTGTATGGGGGGGCAGTATGTGTGTGTATGGGGGGGGCAGAATGGGGGGGCAGTATGTGTGTATGGGGGCAGGCTGTTATATGTGTATGGGGGGTGAGTATGTGTGTGTATAGAGGCAGCATAGGGGGCAGTATGTGTGTGTATGGGGGGGGCAGCATGGGGGGGAGTAGTATGTGTATATAGGGGGGGCAGTATGTGTAGCTGGGGGGCAGTATGTGTGTATAGGGGAGCATGGGGGTAGTATGTGTGTATAGGGTATGGAGACATATGGGGGTAGTATGTGTTTATGGGGGCAGCATGGGGTGAGTATGTGTGTATGGGGGTAGTATGTGTGTGGGGGTGCAGCATGGGGGGCAGTATGTGTGTGTATGGGGGGGCAGCATGGGGGGCAGTATGTGTGTATGGGGGGGCAGCATGGGGGCTATGTGTGTGTGTGTGTGTGATCAGGGTAGGGTGGCTTTTTTTTTTTTATAGTATAATATTTTTTTATTTAATTAAAATAAATATTATCCTATGTCCCCCCTCCCTTCTTACCTTTACTGGGAGGAGGGGGGACATATTTCGATCCCTGGTGGTCCCAGTGGTGATTCATTGGTGGTCAGGTGGTCAGAGTGAACTCTAGCCCGCGCTCCCGGGCTAGAGTTCACTCTCGCGAGATTTGGAGCGTTGCTGTAGTAACCGCGGCAACGCTTCAAATCTCACGAGAGGAGGACCCGGAGGAGCTGTAGACTGAGCTCCGTGTCCTCTCTCTCACTTCCTCCCCCGCCGGCTGTCAGCACAGTGCCTGCGGACCGGGGAGGGAGATCTCTGATCTCCCCTCCGGTCCGCAGGCACATTGCAGGGCTGGCAGGGGAGGGAGACCGACGGATTTCTCGGGGGGGGCAATTGCCCCGTTGCCCCCCCCCTGGATCCGCCAGTGCCTCCCTTTGCTTACCTGTTCTCAGAGCTCAGATCAGACCAGTTCTAAAAAAATGAGAAGCCTCTGATTAGGACATAAAGTCTCTTCCTGGGAAAAAGGGAATGGCTTGCTATAGCTACGGTTCATACAGTTCAGTTCAAGAAGATATACCACCAATGAATAAATGCGAGAAAATTCACAAATACATGTATTCATTGGGAGTGTATCTACTAAACAATGATTTTTTTTTTGTTTCCCCATATTTTTTACTGTGGGGTTTGATGAATTAAGTCTTATTTTAAATTGCAAAATATTTCCTCTATGCATTGCGTTAGCAAATGTATAGGGTTTTCAGATATAATTAAATATGTATGTCATATTGGTTCTAGTGTTGGAGGGACAGGTACAGGTACAGGGTTATTGACTAAATTCCAAATTGTAGCAAATTGAAATCCAGATGATAGATCAGGGTGGACACCATGCCAAACCATCAAACATAGACACATAGAATGTGACGGCAGATAAGAACCATTCGGCCCATCTAGGTTGCCCAATTTTTTAAAAATACTTTCATTAGTCCCTGGCCTTATCTTATAGTTAGGATAGCCTTATGCCTATCCCACGCATGCTTAAACTCCTTTACTGTGTTAACCTCCACCACTTCAGCTGGAAGGCTATTCCATGCATCCACTACCCTCTCAGCAAAGTAATACTTCCTGATATTAGTTTTAAACCTTTGCCCCTCTAATTTAAGTCTCCTCCTTTACTGTGTAGATTCCCTTTATGTATCTATCATATCCCCCCTGTCGTGTTTTTCCTCCAAGCTATACATGTTAAGATCCTTTAACCTTTCCTGGTAAGTTTTATCCCGCAATCCATGAACCAGTTTAGTAGCCCTTCTCTGAACCCTCTCTAAGGTACCAATATCCTTCTGAAGATACGGTCTCCAGTACTGCATACAATACTCCAAGTGAGGTCTCACCAGTGTTCTGTACAATGGCATGAGCACTCTTTCTACTGCTAATCAACGGTCTCCAGTACTGCATACAATACTCCAAGTGAGGTCTCACCAGTGTTCTGTACAATGGCATGAGCACTCTTTCTACTGCTAATCAAGTGGTCTGTTGCTGATGAAATATGAAATTGCAGAACAGACTACCTTGTATAGAGTACAGAAAGAGGAAAAGTCAGTAAATACAAATGCCAAAGTAATTGAGCATGTTCTTGGTATATTCATGCACATGAGTTTAGATGCCAAATGTACAAGCCTATTAGGAAATGGAGAATCTGGTGGGATATCTAGCAATCGATTTATAAAATTGCTCACAGCATTTCACCTTGAAGACAATCCTATAGTCTCTGTTGATGAGAAAAACAAAATCTACTAGAAAATGTTCTTTGCTTTACCTGAACAATTTAATGCAGTGGATGAAATGATGGGGCAAATCAAGGGAAGATTGCATGCTAACAAAACCAAACAAATGGGGGTTCAAGATATGGGGATGTATTTGACAAAGTGGCTTTCTGTCATGTTTTCTTAACAAATGCAAAAACCACTCACTTTTTTATTCTGAGGTAGTTTCAGCACAGCAAACCAGTGTGACAGCCAACTGAGAGGTCAATTGTCAGCCCGTGATCGGTAATGGATGATTAGCAGGGGCGCAATTGCCCACCAGGCCGCCCTAAATCCATTTAAAACCGGCCGCTGCAGGGCCAGTCCTAATGCTGCAGCGCTGCTTCTCCCCTCCCCTGTAGCGTGGCCGAGCTGCACTCCGGTCCGCGGTGCCCGGCCGGAGTCATAGGAAGGTGCACACTGAGGGGGGGGGGAGTAACAGAAGGAGGTGGGTGGGAGTAACAGGAGGGTGGAAGTAACAGAAGGAGGGAGGGTTACAGGAGGAGGGGGAGTAACAGAAGGAGGGGGGAATAACAGAAGGAGGAGAGGGGAGTAACAGAAGGGAGAGGGGGACAGCAACAGAAGGAGGAGGGGGGAGTAACAGAAGGAGGAGGGGAGTAACAGAAGGGGTGTAGAGAAGAATAGGAGTAAGAAGAAGGGTAAGAAACGGG